TTCTAATTAGAACTTGTGGTTGCTATGGGGAAAAAAAAAGTCGCTTATAACAAATCCACATTTTTCTGTATTTAATTGATCTAAAAACTGAAAAAAAAAACCCCAAAACAAACACTCCTCACCCTCCCTCTCTTTGGGTATGCAAGAATACAGAGTTCTTTTGTCACTGAGTTCTCCACAGAGTTACTGTTTTCATGTCTTAATGTCACTTTCTGCCACTAGTTAGGCAAACTCTTGTCCCAGTGGAGCATTACAGCTATTCAGGATGGGAGTCTTGGCTCGTTGGTTGGTTGGTTTTTTGTTTGTTTTGCTTGTTGCTATTTTAGAGATGGCATTTCCTGTGCACATTTCCTGTGGCATTGATGCCACAATTCTGAAATTAAGAGTAAATTGTCAATTAGCCTCCATGACCAGTTTGATTTAAATGGTATACACAGACACACACTACTGAGCTGTATACAGTGCACATGCACAGGAGGACAGTTACCACATCAGACAGCTTAAAAATTAAACTGGACTCATGCTTAGAAAAGCACTGAGAAAAATAATGGCTTAGCCTAGACCTAAATCAGTCCCAATACCATATGTTTTCTAGACTGCTACATTTATCTCTAAGTTAACTACTCTGCAACAATTGCAGGTTTTACTTAGTTAGCTGTCTTTTTATTATTTAACAAAAAAGAGTTTAAAACCTCTTCAAGTGCATTGGACAAATTATTCTCACACAAGACTCTTCCTCCCTGCACAGCCCCCAAATGCTGTGATGAGGTAGGTACAAGAGAAAACTGCTTTCTCACCCAGAGATTGCTTCACAGATTCTTCAGGGCATCTCTCTTAGCCAAGAGTATTTGCTCCCAGCTCTCGTTGCACCTGTCTCATCACTCCTGTTTGAGCAACACATGCAATGTTGCAATTATTGCCTCCAAATATAATCGGGGCAGGTTTCTCTCAGGCCTCCCCCAGTGTTGTACCTGTACACACACAGGGAAACAGGGACGTGAAAGCAGAAATGCTGACGTCTCAGCAGGGGAATTCAGAAGCCTGCCCCTGTTCATCCTGCAGCCAAAACCTGAAAGGCTTTAAGGAACACGGCTGAAAAAGCAGCAGACAGTCTTTACCAGTCCATCTCTGCACACACACAGATTGTACATGGGCCCACACACAGGGAATTATGCATTTCCTTTAAAAATAAGTCCAAGAAGTAAAAGTCCTTTTCTAAATGCATTATGGAATATTAAAGTTTTGAAGTATTATTTCCTTCAGAGTTTGCCTATGACAATTACACAGTCAGATCATCTGCTTATACTTTATGGCTTAAAGAGATCCAGGCACTACTTGATAATGAAGAAAATAGAGATAATGCTACAAAAAGAATGCTGTTCAAGTACAGGTGAAGAAGACTCATTTCTTTTGACTTTCTTTCATCTCTTCTACCCTCCACAATAGGGATTGCCTTCAAAATTAAAGATGCCTTCCTGCAACTGCTTCAATGCAGTCATTGGCTAAAGTGCCTCTGTCAGCTCAGACTACGCTTAAAATTTAAGCCATGTGCATAATATTTGAGACAGCCCTGACAAGTGAATTTCAATAATCACTCCTATGAGTATTATTTAATTCAGTAAGAGGGCCTCGACCCTCTGTTTGTGGCTTCTGTCTGCAGCTGTCAGAGAGCATACAAATACATATGGATAGCAGCCAAGGAGGTACCTCAGAGCATGGTTTCAGGTAACTTCACACAACCAGAAGTGTTTCTTCTGCTCCAGCCTGGGAGTCACTCAGAATCATTAGTCCATCTTATGAGCTTCAGTAAGACACCTGCTTTGAGGACTGTGATAGTTCTAGTAGATTCAAAACATGAATGGACAGAGGAAAGACTCCAAAGTTACCTGAAAAAAGCTGCAATTCCTCTGTATTTGTCAACAGAGAAATGCAAGGCGTTAAAAACCTCTGATGAATTTCCCTGGGCACAACCAATTAACTTCTGAATTGACTCCAAAATAACTGCAAATTAGTTCTCTCTCTAAATACTCTTGGGGGAGGGAGGGTGGAATTTGAATGTTACTTTCGTTTGAATCTGTGCCCTGTTTGTATCTAAAGGCATAGTAGAATAGGTGCTGTAGAATTCCTTCCTAGTATCCTAGAAGGAGCAAGTAACATACTGCACTCAGAATATCGGGTTGAAATTCCCACTGTAAGCCATAAGTTTCAAACTTCAGATTTTCCTGATCTACCCAGGGATCTGTGGTAGTTCCTGTTCTCCAGGCAAGGAGGAGGAAACAGCATGTTGCTGTCTGCTGAAACCTCCAGAAAGTCAGTGCATGCTGCTAATGCAGACTGGGACATGACACAGCAAGTATAAGCATCTGCATGAGCAAACTGCCTCCTCGGATATGTAAGCTTATAATTTATTTGGCAGAGAAGAAATTAAAGGTGTACCAAAGCTGCAAAATAAAACATAATTATTTCTTAAAATAGGAATTAATAGATGGTTAGGTCAATGGAGAGTATCCTTCAATTGCTCAGATCCCTGCAAAGTGAAGTGAAAATTCAGTGAAAAGTGTACTGTAATGCACATCACATAGACAATGCAAAAATCATGAAACTGCAGGAGAGATCTGCTGCTCTAACAATTCACTTCATTCTTCATACAACAGAGAGCAGAAATAAAAATGTTCACAGCTGCCCTTTCTTCCTGTCTAGGTGTAAGCCACGAGAAAAGCTTCCAAAGTATAAAAGGGAATCGTCTCTTGTTCTCTTATCTTTTAAGGAGATAAATAGCGGCAGTCATTAACACAGCATGAATCATTTTCCTTAGTACAGGTACTGAACAAACAGAAATGTCCGTCATTTTCCAGCTGGTTATTTTCTCATAATGACACAAATATTTAACTTGACAGGTAGGGCCATTATTATGGAGAAAGGGAAGAACAGTATAGTTATTGTATCTGAACCATTATGTACCATGACACTTACAAGCTGAAACAAAATTGACGTAAAAGTAAAGGAGCACAAACTGAGTTCAAGCAAACAGTGATGGTTTTTCATTGATAAAGATGAAAGATGCAGATTTTGTAAAGTAAACATGCAAAGTAGTCTGTCAAGCTTCCAGTGATTTTCACCCCAGTTTAATCAACACGTGATTTCACTCAAATCCTAAGTTTCTGTTTCTTGGACATGTTTCTACACATCTCTAGCAGGCTACCATGAACATCCTGCTTCACTCAAGCATGACTACAAAGAAAGAAATCCAAGTTTAAAGTTCAAAACTTATATTAAACTAAATAACAGGCTGAAAGACACTTTCAGTTTATCAGGTTTTTTCCTGTTTAATATATTATGGATGTAACTGCTACCCTGGCTTAGAGAAATCTGCTTTCTATGTCTTCACCATTTTAGAGAAAACAGAATAGAATATTACTGCATATGAGTCAGCAGCATGCCCTGGCAGCCAAAAGGGCCAACTGTATCCTGAGGTGCAGGACATAGCATCAAGCTGTATAAAGATAAATTACAGAACTTTTATTTCATAAGGAGTAGATTGCAGGAAGATAAAAATCCCCAGAAGTCCAATATTCTGACATTGCAAATAGGGATTAAAGTGTGACACACAATTCAAGATCTGCCAACAATCACAAAAGTCCAAAATAGCTACCTTTTTTTTTTTTTTGTTTCGATTCATGCCTCCTGTAATGGAAACTGATACAAAGATAGTAAGTATCCTAAAGGCACACATTTCCAGCACTTATTAGTATACTCCATTCTCATGGTTTTTTAAAAATTACTCAAAAAAGTAGTCTTCATTGAATTTCTTGCTTTGGTATGTAAAGAACAGGCTGTCAGAAGACATTTGAAAGAATAAAACACAGAAAGCTAAATTTTTCATCTGTGAAAATTTTACTTTGAGGAAAATCTGCTTCAAAAGCAAGCATACTCATTACTAATTATTCACTTTCTGGCAATTTACCCATTGTTCCTATCCCAAATCATCAAGAAGATACTGAATATTTAATCTGTATGGGCAGGTATTTGTTGTCTCACGTCTGCTGAAGTGGTAGATGTTACCAAATGGTACATTTCCTCTGAATTAAGGTGACCTGACTGCTATCACATGTCTGAATTCCACACATTTCCTTCACAGCCTTATGACTGACAAATTCTATCTGCTTCAAACAAGAAAGCCGGCAAAGCAGGCAGGTGTAAAGGAACTGCAAGTCAAGTTTGTGTTCGCCTTGCCCGGTTCTGAAGCTCCAAAAGGTTTGTTGAAGCCGGAGAAGCTGCCGTGCCCTCTGGTACAGCACAATGGATGTGAGCACGCATCCCATTCCCAACCCATCCTCTCATACCACAGCGCCTTCCAGTGGCTCCGAGGGCGCAGGAGGAGCACGAGAAGGGATGGCAGAACTGCAGCCAGGCACAGGGACAGCGGCCATGCAGCCCTCACCTGCGGGAGCACCACCCAGGCATGCCGGGGAATGCACAGCACCACTGCAGCAACAAGCCAAAAGCAGGAAATCAGATTTAGAACTGGCCTGAAAAATATCCTGGGCAGAGAAAATGCAGCAAATCACGAGAGCTTCTTATACATCAAGGACAATATACAAATTGGTCTTTTTTTTCCACAGTAATATGAGGGTGACAAACAGCTTTGGAAAAATTGGAAGTCAACCATTTCAAGCTGCAAATGAATCCTCAAGAACCAATTTTTAATATGGTTTATCAGTAAGAAACTCTTGGAAATACAGAATGGTTATGTCCATTCCTGCACAGTAAAGTGTATCTGGTAATCCAAAATCTCTTCCGCCAGTCGAGCTAATAGTTTGTGTAATTTCTGGTATCAGAAGAAGCTAAAAAAGCAAACTCATTTAGCCAAAACTCTCACTTCAGTGTTCAGTAAAGTTTGTCTTGCAAGAGCTGCTAATTTGTTGAGCTGCTGCCGTAATTAATTCCTACAAAGCATTAGGAAAAAGCAGTTGCACAAACCAGAATAAGACAAACTCCCATAATTCTATTGACAATTTATATTCTCATGAGGTCCTGTAAACACAGTAATTTCATACATTTACATGCAATATGTGGTTCCATATTTATATGTAAGAAAGATACCAATCTAATTCTGTTAATTTTAAGTTCAGGCCACTGCACTTGAGCCTCCAAGTTACATTTCCATACATACCAACGATGAAACACTTTTTACTTACATCTACATTCCATCCATGCAAAGAACAGAATTAATCAGCAATTATTCAGTGTGCAAAATTTGACCTTTCATACTGGGACCTCTATGAGAACACTGCTTGCACAATTAAGTTCTGGTTTTTTTTCAAAACTTAAAGGAGGCTTTTAAGAAAGATGGGAACAAACTTTTTAGCAGGGCCTGTTGCAATAGGAGAAGGAGTGAGATCTTAAAATTGAAAGTGGGTAGATTCAAACTAGATATAAGGAAGAATTTTACAGTGAGCGTTGTAAAAGACAGAACAGGATGCCCAGTGAGGCAGAAGAGCCCCCATCTCTGTAAGCATTCAAGGTCAGGGTAGGTGGGGCTCAGAAGACATCTCTGCTCATTGCAGAAGAAACTTGACTAGATGACCTTTAAAGGTCCCTTTCAACCCATATTATTCTATTATTCCCTTTTATAATTCAAATAAAGTTTTATTGAATGTTTTTACAGATGAGATCGACTTTCCTATGCAAACATGTACCATTGATACTATGTGTTTAAAGAAATGTGGTATGTTAACTTTAAAGTCTTTTAGCTTTACAGTAGGAAACCTGGCTATTACAGAAGACTAAAATCCATGAGTGTTTCACATTAATTCATAAATTAAATAGTTTTAACTGTCCATCTTCAGCTATTTACTCCTCTATACAGAAAAACAACCCTAAGTACATAATAGTTATCTATGTTGTCAAAACAGGAAGCAATCTTCACTGAGTTTAATTTAAGGCCAGTCGCATTGGATTCTCTATATTGGCTTTCAAGGTCTCCAGAAACTTTGAAGCCAGTTCATCATCCACCACTCGACCATCACTCGAGAGAGTCACTGTCATGAGTTGGTGCTGCTCAAGTTTCTCATTCCCTTCTTCATCTTCCACAATCCTGAGCTCTGGTCTTGCTCTGCCCACAGCGAGGATACAGGCCTGAGGAGGGTTTATGACTGCTGTGAAACCACTGATGCCAAACATGCCCAGATTGGAGATACTGAAAAAAAAACAGAAAAGAGTTTCAGTAACATCAGGAATTACATATTCCCTACAAGAAATAATCTATATTCAACAACTACTATGATTTAAATCCCCTCCAAGGCAAAACTCATTAAGATAAAAATAGATCAAATGTTTTTAGTTGAACACATTCAGATTCTCAACGGTTTGGAATTTCTGCAATTAAAAATAATGCACCTTTTCAAAAGTCTCACTTCTTTGCAACAATATGTTGTTGCACTGCACACACTGAAGCCAGAAAGTAAGCCAGCAAAGCAATGTCTTGAAATATATTTTGCCTGTCCCTATTCCAAGCCACATGTCTTTTAGACTGAACCTCACAACTGCAAGTTACAATGGCTGCTGGTAACCACTAAGCCATAAAATTTGGGCATCTAGGTATCACTCAGGCACATGAAAACATTTTCTGTCTGTGTCACCCCCTCTGAAGTGGTATATTGGGAAAGGGCTTGGACTCTTCTGTGACAAGTTGTCTGTGGAGAAAGCTGGCCCACCATCTCCTCCTTTCTGGTGGCAAGGAGTGGAAAAATGATTAAACAGTACAGTCCAACCATCAAATGGCACCACTGCCATGTTCACCACTACACCACGTCCTTAAGTGTCACATCCACCTGCTTTTTGAACACTTCCATGAATGGTGACTCAACCACTTCCCTCGACAACCTGTTGCAATGGTTGACAATCCATTTCATGAAGAATTTTTTCCTGATATCCAATCCAAACTTCCCCTGATGCAACTTGAGGCTATTTCCTCTCCTCCTGTTACATATCACCTGGGAGAAGAAACAAACCCACACCTCACTACAACTACAGTCCTTTCAGGCAGAAAGAGTGAAGAGTGATATGGTCCCCCCTGAGCCTCCTTTTCTCCAGACTAAACAATCCCAGTTCCCTCAGCTGTTCCTCACAAGACTTGTGCTCCAGACCCTTTACCAGCTCCAGCACCTCAATGTCTTTCTTGTGGAGATGGAACCAAAACTGAACACAGCACTCGAGGTGTGGCCTCACCAGTGCCAAATACAGATTAAATTAACCTCTACGAAAGTAATTGTTTCCCCCTGACACAAGACACTCAGTCTAGGTTTGGCCCTCAGAATTATCACATGGAGTTTCATCCTAAACAGAGTAAGATTTTAAAAGAAAAGCATTAAAAGACAGTGGAATAGCTGAGGATAAAACAGTTCTGAACAGTCTGCATGTATTAAATGCTGCCAGAGTTTTACCTAAAAGATCCTCCCTGGTACTCTTCTGGTAACAGTTTTCCATCTCTGGCCTTCTTTGCTAGAGCCTAAAGAAGAAAACAGGCAGAGAAAAAGAGAGAAATTAGTGTGTTCTAATAGACTAATTCTTTCTATTTCAGTAAGACATTTTAAGTACCATACAGACATTAAGTCAGCAAAAGTCCCTGCTTTTGGATTTAGGGAAGCACCTCAGCCATACTGTTGTTGTATCTGCAGTGATTTGGCAACAGGACTAGGACACAAAATTTTCCCACCAATACTGGCTGCTCAATAAAAGCTGTTCTCTCACCTTACAAATATTGTTCCAGTTTTTACAATGGAACTGCCATTCTCCCTGGTGGTTTCGCATTATCTTGCAAAATACTGATGAGAAATTCACAGTATTCCTATCATATTTGTTTAAAGAAACTGACATGTACCATTTCAGAACTTCCTTTAGAAGAGTGCCTTTAAGGCCACTCCTTCTGTGATCTCCATTTCATTTGTGAGACTTTTCTTTAAAATTCAACAGAAGAAATATTCAAATACTGCCAAAGAAGTCCATACTATGTTCCAAGATTGCAGAACTGCACAAAACTTTAAAATTCATAGTAAGCATGTCAAAGTTACAAGGATACACTGAGCTTTATTTTAGGCTTTTTCTCATCCCCTGAATAATTAGTGAAGACAATAGCCATGGGAACAGCATTCAAACAACAGGGTCAATATAAGCGTGATGCATTTGTGCAATTGCATTACTTGAATGATGAAAATACAGTGCCAGGATGCACATGACCTGGAAAGAAGTCAAAATTAACATGCAGCAGAAGGGGATATATAAGCAACGACACAAAGAAAGTGCCTGCAAAACTACAGGGAGACTGAAACTCTGACAACTACAGGGAAGTAGGTGCAGTTCCAGTGTGTGCCTCCCCCTTGTGCATGGCAGGTACTCATTTATTTCAGTAATTCAGTGAAGAAGTTGAAAAACAAAATGGTGCTGGTGTGGACATCTATGTCACACACAATCCACTTGAAAGGCAAGGGGAATGCTCACTATCATGGCCCCATTGAGTGTAACACAAGCTGCATTTCCACCATGGGAACTGCAGGACATTGATTTGTGGTAAGAGAGGTTTGTCAATACCACATACTATTACAGGTATTGTGGATGATAATGAAAACACAACATTGAACAATGCTTTTCCTCTTGTCATTCCATCACTAACCCTACAACAACCTCAGCTGACCTTCCTCCTAAACTGCCTACTAGTGTAAGGAATTGTTTTCACAACATGTTCAGCATAAAGTAACCAATATGAACTGGAAAAAAATCTTAAAAACACCCATTTATGAATGTTTTGTGGTATGATCCATCTTTTTCTGCTATAACTTTTTGGCCATTCCTCTCTGTCAACACAGACTATGATGGTTTCTGTAATTTTACACAAAAGGCAAGAATTCACAAAGTGCAGTGGTGTCTAGCTTGGGGACAGTTTCATGCCCTAGGATCTGCTTCCATTGCATTTCTCAGATACTGCAGGCCTTCGATTAGCACTCATTAAATGACAAAAAAAAAATACCTGTGTTGGGACACTTAATCATTCATTATACTTTTGCCTGCCAAAAACCACTCCTTTATCTGGCAACAACTGTCACATATCACTCTGACTGGCACCTGGTCTATGCAAAATACTGCCCATTAGTCTGAGGAGTTTAATGTTACATCCTTAATTGAACTGCATATTGAAGTAAAAATGCAGACAGAAATATGTTCCATAATGTAACTGCAAAGACAGTAAAAAACCCAGACAAAAAATTTTCACAAAAAACCCAAAATCTCAAACCCCAAGACTAGAAATACTAATGGAACTAGCATTAAAGCAGGCTTCTCTTGAGATTAAAGAAACACAATTATATTAAATTGCAAAAGCAGTCTAGCCACCATTTGACTAAATAACATGTTATTGTCGATTAAAAATGAAGAGAGTTGCAAAATTAGTAAGAATTGTCAAGTGTAAGTAATGCTGAAACTGCTTTAGATCTACTGCCTTTGTTATTACTTATGTGTATCTGGGTCATGCTACATTTTCTGCTACAGAAAACCATCCAGCTGCTCTATTCCTCAGCTTGCTGCACATTTCAGACCCACCTTTGCAGAGGCAGCAATTTCCTGGATTCCCTTGGCAGCAGCATCTTTGATGATGGGCGTAATGAGCCCTCGGTCGGTTGCCACGGCAATGGAGATGTCAATGGACTGCAGCCGCCTGCAGGCTTCCCCATCCCACGTTACATTCACATCTGGCATTTGCTAAAACAGACACACAATAGGAAAAAAAAAAACAAAAAAAAACAACAAAACAGCTGTTAGAAGAATAACAGTGCAATCAGTTGTTAAGAAAAAGGAAATTCCTTTAAGACACATAGCTACACACAGGCATCCGCCGAATAAATTAGCTTGCATTGATTTTATTTATATTTACTTTGCCAAAAAGCATGGAATGTATGCACCAGAAACTAAAAATGGCAGGACAGACAGAAGTTCGTGTTGATAGGGAAAAAAACCCCAAATTACTACAAATTTCTTCACTGATACCACCTTATGATGGCCAGCATGTAGAGCTTCAAAGCAGTGCAACTTCTCCCACAGAATAAATCATAGGATGCTGAATTTTATAGCATGGAAAAGGATATCCTACTACACCTGCATGTTGTTTTTCAGTGGTGCCTCAAGCATGATTCTCAACAAATAAAATATGCTGCAGATACACTCACTGTTATTCAGATGTTCTAAAATGCATCAGGTTTTTTTTTTGTGGGTGGACTAAGTTAAAATTGAGATATTTGCTTATATTTATTTCAGTTTTTTTAGTTTAATGAAGTGAACAAGGTATTCCAGAACAAAGTATGGGAGGGATGTACTATCAAAAGTTACTCTACTGTCTATCTAAAGTAACTGCACTCCTAGGAAGTATGGTGGTACTCTGAGTTCCTATTCTTCAATACCAGAATGCATAGTGTAAAAAAAAAAAAAAAAAGAAAAAGAAGAGAGAAAAGAATAAAAAAGTATGCAGTATTCTTTTTTTGCAAGCTAAATAAGCTTCTAGAAGTCCCCATGGTTTATACACTTGTAAGATGCCCTCAAGTGGGTGCTGTACAAGTATAACTCTTTATAGAAAGGAATTCAAAAGAGATGGTAGGGACACCATTTGTCACTTCAACAATGAAAGATTTCTTTTTAAATTACAACTGCCATAGGAGCTGTTGTTATGAAGCCCAACCACTTGAGGATATCAGCCTGGAAATTTTTCTTCCTTCCTCCATCCTTCTCCCTCTTTGTTCCAGAAAGGAGAATGGCTCTACTGGGCTGTCACCTGGTGAGACCACTGGCACATTTCACAAAATCCTGGCTTGTCAAATGGCAAGACCAAGCTGAAACACAGAACCCATAGCTGGATTTGTGACATCCTAAGTGAAGGAGAAATACAGCATGTTCAAGAATCAATACAAGCAGTATCCTGAGGTGTGTGCCAAACAATCATAAACCATCAAACCAGCAGCAGTCAGCTCATTAAAGCAAGAACAACACATTTTTCACTGTTCAGAAACAAAATAGTAAAAAAATATTCTCTGAAGAAGGCCCAGAAAAATGTCAATGAAACTGCCTCATTTTAAACTTGATGTATTTGCACCACTCAGTTTCAGGTGGGGAAATGCAGGTAGAAGCGGGTTTTCTTTTTTTAAAGCAGTTGCCCACATCTTTTCCTGAAATACTGACAGAAAGCTTGATCTCAAACTTGTTTCCTGATACACCAAGTTAAATATGTTGTTTTGTTTTTTTTAATGTATTATTTTAATAGTCAAACAAATGCTAGCATAGATGTCCAACAAAGCAATAGGGTAAAAGAATTTTATTGATTACTTCCATATCAACACAATATTATTATCACCTCAAAAACTAACAAACCCCTTGGAAGACAGATCACAAAACCTCTTGCTCTCTGTCTCCTCTTCCTTTCACCTGCTCTCTGGTGCAGATATAAGTTATCCACACTCACAGCAGTTCATGTTAAACTCTGGGTGCCACCATTTCCTCACAAAAGATTTCATTAGGCCACTAAAAGAAGTTTCTTGTTAAGTAGATGTCTAATAAAAGCAGAGCACACATATTTAGCTCCTCCTTTTGTTTTTGGCATTAACTTGCAGAGTTTTTTCCAGTTTAAATAAGGCCTCAAATTTCTCTCAGGCACTTGCTTATGAACTTGAATAGAATCATGTCTATTTTCTGTCCAAATTGCAATTATACATTAAGCTATACCTAAGCTATATCTCTTAAAATTATACATTAATATTTAGTACATGTTCGGCTAGAAATCCATTAAGTTTTTCAGTCCAGTGTTCTCTTAATTCCATACATCCATAGGAATAGTCCCCCAACTTAAACATAAATTTCTCTCTCAACTTTTAAATAGTTCAAATTATCCTCACAAATGAGAAAAACAGCTCTCACATCCTTTCCAATGTTTTTGTATTATTGTGAGGTAATCCAAGCAATGAGAATTCCTAGCAATGAGCAAAGAGTGGTTGCCAGAAGAGTTTTTATTTCAAAGTAGGCATCACTGAATGTGCCACCAGAATACACATGCTTAGTCTGCTGACAAAGCAACTACTGCAATTTGCAGATGTTAACTGCAGTAATCAGATCTTCACTAACAAGTTCTCACTTTCAAAGTTCACAGCATAGACAGTGAAGAGAATTTACCTGGAAACCTAAAAAAACCTGACAATAAGCAATACAGAATTACCAGCTTTACTGTAATCCCAGTCATATCCTCCACATAGACTCACAAAATACTTCTCTTGTCTCCTTGGCAGTTTACTATTAAAATGTATTTTTAAAGTCAATTATTTTCTTACCTTCAGAGTAACTGCTGTTGCCTTGATAATAAAATCATTTACAGATACTTTAATGTCATCTGCAAAAGGAAACAGAAGAATTAAAAAAAAAAAAAGAGTAACAGTCATTGCTCGTTAGATTTGCTTTATCAGCATTTGTGTGATAACAAGATTCCAGTGATTCAGCAGATTTATTTCTTTGGAGCATTAACAGAAAGTCAACTTATCTTCAAACTCCAATAATAAAAGCAAGAAAACTTTTTCCCCCTTGGGACAAAAAGCATATCCATCAAGAAAAATCTCATGCAGAGATACTCAGGAGAGTTTCAGGAGACTGAAACTGGTAACTAAAATCAGGAGTGGCAGCAGAAGCAGGGATAATAGATACAAAGCAGATTAGGCCATAAGATTACTCTGAAATGCATGACATTTACACAATATTAACCTCACCATTCTCACAATTAAAATAAAAAAAAACTACATTACCCTTCCACCACCATCACTACTGTCAGCAAAACTGATCAAGCAGCAGAATTACTTAATTTTCAAATCTGTTTTATGGCATGTAACACATATACCTTTAGAAATATTTTTGCAAGGGAAAATAATTTATAGATAATGATATCAAGTGAAACATTCTGAAGTCACCACAAATTTAAAGGAGTGAACCAAGTATCCACTTACCACATAACTGGCCTGCAACATTTGCCATGATTAGTAATCTATGTATAAGAAGAGAGACAGCATCCAACAGAACATAATGGAACTTACAATTACTATGCTGCACTGACAGAATTTCACATCAGACAAACCTGCACCTTGGTCACCAAATATACACTGTTTACATTCTACATTCCTAACCCTTGGCAAAAATGTCACTGTCCAATAGTAGAGCAGGAACAGTTAAATGATCCACATCTGATAATATTTTTACCCTGCATCACTGAAATTTATAGTAGTAGAAAATACTGTAATTTCCACCAGAGGAAACAAAAATCTACCAGGACAAGCTTTGCAATTCAATTTCATGCAAAGACATATGGCTTTTCCACCTCTGCATTTAAAGGAAATCTTCATTAAGAATCAACAACAGGATAGGTGTGAAAAATTTTGAATATTCCTATGATCCTTTTTGGTTCATTCCTTATGAACTGCTGCTGTTTAAAGAAAATATCAGCATCAGAATGTGTCTTTGACATTCACTTGTGAATAAGATACCATTGGTAAAAATAACAGGTAGAAAAATGACCTGAGTACTGCTGCATTAAAAATTAGTCACTCAAAACTCCAGTGGAAAGAAAAGCAGCTCCTGTATCACCTAGGAAATGTGAATATACTGATCAAATTTAATTTTAGACCACACAAACAGATAAACAAGCATGGGCTAGTCACTAGTACAGAACAGTTGGCCTCAGTTTCTCAATCAGTAAAGCAATAAAAATGTAAATTAAAACTATTATGCCGTTGTCATTCTGAATGCAGAGCTGACATGGCTTAGGAAAGCTACTATTTGAATATATAAGCTTTCAAACCATGACATCACTCATGAAGCCTAAAATTCTTCATTCTTCATTCTTGTGATAGTGAGGTAATGAGGAGAAACATCTCCAAACTGAACTATTGAGAACAAACGACACAAATGGTACCAGAAAAAAGAACTAATGGAAAAACACTGAAAAGAATCCACATGAAATTGCTTATATACTTTTCTCTTGTGCAGACAGCTATAATCTCCCATGAATGTCTTCAGTCTTTAGAACTAATCTGTGGTCTTTAAAAAAAAAAAAAAAAAAAAGCATAGCAGGAGAAAAACCACTCTGTTGTTTTTTCACTCTGTAAAATAACACCTTCAGATTTTTTTACCAAGTTACAGACTTAGCAACAGCCTAGGAGGTGCATGTCTGCATCACCAAACAGAGCATCACTACTTGCTTATGCAGCCTGATCACTGTGCAAAATAAGACTTCAGAGTTGCCAAAGTAACACCTCTGTCTTCCTGTATCCTGACAAGGTGCCCAATTCAATAATTTCCAGGAACTACAGCTTGAGTCCAACATACAGAATACTAAAAAAAAAATTATTTGAATGCATAGTGGTCTACCTATACAAAACCTACACCTTCTGGGGAAGTTTATGTAAACAGGACAAATTATATATTAGCATAACCACACTAGTATTACCACATGTTCAAGTAAATCAGACTACTAACCTTTGGCCAATTCTTTTCTTAATTTCAAAACAGCATCAATGGCACAGTCAGCAGCAGCATATGCATGAGGTATGGTGGTTTTAGACTCTGTTAACCTCTTAGCAATAACTCTTCGGATGTTGCTAGCTGGGATTTCTGTGAATGTGCCCTGAAAGAAATCACATGCTGTGTATTAAATGGCAGGACAGTAAACACACTTCCCCTTTGCTGGAGGTACTCCAGCATTTCTGCATTATCAGCAGTGACTCCTGTCCACATCAACTACCCCCTACACACCCAAAAGTGATACATTCCAACTACAATCCAACATTCAATTCATATGGCAAAGACCATTGAGTGTTCTTGTCTATTCCTATCAACTGGGATCAACACAACAGTTTTTACAGAATAATTCCACTTTACAGTACAGAATTAATCTTGTTTGAAAAAAAAATCCAAATGCTGAGGCATTTATTTTCAGCTAGAGTATACGAGCACTGTTCTATCTTCCAGGCTTGGCATATTGCTCAGATCATGCTTTGCTCCATTGAAATTATAAAAACATTTCCTTGGTAAACTACTGCTTTTTCAATTCCCTGTGTAGCTCCTTAAGACAGGCTTTACTGCATCTTTTCTGCTATTCTTCTCTCTCCTTCAGATATATCCAATAATGTTTCAATGGCCAATTTCTTCCTAGAAGCAGGTCAACTTGCAAGAAATCTCTTAAAATATTAGTCACTAAAGAAAGCAGGAAGATAAATGATTCTGTAAAACATTATTTTGTATACTTAATCTTTAGCACACATCCCCTGAACATAAAAGGATTCACAGAATCCTTAGTACATATTCAATAGGACTCAATACACAAATTGCAATACGTATGTTTTGGGGCAATCAGGGAAATGTTTTATTCTGTAATGGATCTAAGTCTGAGCTTTTGAGTTCTTTGTTTGGCTCTTTGTACAGTGCAAAAAAAAAAAAGAAAAGCAGCATTTTCTGAATATTATGAACTGTAGCTTCATTGTAAACTTCAGCCTAAAAAGAGATATCAAATTTAGTTCTAGAGCCAGAAAATGTTTTTCACAAAAGCTTTTCAATTTCTACTAATGTATATTTCAGCAAGGGCATTTATTCTTTAAGTTCGATGTTTTTTTATTTTTTCTGGTATTTCTAACATTTCAATTTAACATAGAAACTTATTTAGGTGCCAGAGTTTGCACAATTACTCTCCAAGGCAACCAAGAAGACCTTTCCTTCCTCAATTCTTGACAACTCATTAATGGACACTTAGATCTGGCAGAAAGGCAAACAAATCAAGTACAGTAAAAATAAATCATAATTCTAGTTTCTCCAAGGCCTGCAATATAAATTTTTTCATCACTTCAATTTGCAAGCTATACAAAATAGTATGCAGACAATCATTTCAAGGATTCACAATTTTAATTGCATTATCTTAGAATCACTAAAACCTGCACATCACTGAGCTTGACATCTGGGTGACCTTAGTTTCCTTCCTCTCTCCAGATGTAGAAATCTCAGAGCTACTGAAGCAGCTCAGCTGCAGCAATGCTGAAATCTTAGCAGAAGTGTTACCAGTGCAGCAGGCTGTCCTGGGGTGGAAACTGCTGGAATTGCTGGCCTGGGATAAGAAGGCATGGCTGTTGCTGGTGAAGGAGAAGGCACTGCAGCAGGAGCTGGAGAAACCACAGGTTTCAATTCACTGGGTTTACCTTTCTGCTTCTCTTGCAGAAGTTTGAGAGCATCCCTGGTGATTAAACACAGAGAAATATTAACAACAAAGAAACTATCTAACAATTACCAAAGTATTAGTATTGCATCACTTATTCTGTTTAATTTGCCACTTCTGTACATTTAAATTTCTGTTGTCAAACCAAACATTAGGAAGGCGATTATTATTAAATGATTGCAATTTTTTGTTGCCTTTGTGGTATTTTTAGAGTAAAACCCCGTTAATTTCCATGGATAAAGGGCCTGAATATGCAGTAACAGAAAATATTTGTGTTAAAGAAGCATAAAAATCATGATCAGTGAGCATGCAAAATGATTTTTGAATTGCATTAACAATTGTTCTAAATAAGAGTACATTTATTCAGGCTATAAAGTCTAGTAAAAGCTGTTTCATCTGTTATGTTTGAAATAATCTGAATTTAATGTAATTACTTAGTGCTAAGTGAAAATTAAGTAGCAGATTTATCACTCATTTCTCTGCACCTTTCTGACATGAATTTTCAGAGTCAGGCACAGATGTTATAGAGGCCCATACCTCCTAACACCACACTGGAGAAACAGAGCATTCTCCAAGGATTTTTTACTAATATTTTACTAATACAAAGGTTTTGAAACACAAGCCATAAATACTAAACGAAGCCATCTAATTTCAGTAGATTACTACATGAGAGACTATTCTTGAGTGACAGCCAAGAGTTTGTTACTAAATTTTTATAAAAAGAACAAAATCTCAGGACATTTTGCATTCTTAGTTCTTCCTAAAAAGTAGCACTCCAGAAACAAGAACTGAAAATTGAAAAGCTCTACATAATGCCTTTTACAATTGCTGACTTGCTTCAATTTATTCTTACCTTCAACATATACTTCAACAAATGATATTGAAAAGAAAAAAGTGAATGAGCTCAAGATAAAATTTCTTGTTAAAAGCTGTTACTTGTTTTCCCAAATTAACATGCTAGTCAAAATTTGTTTTAAAATTAAATGTTTAGTATTTGATACAACTACTGTACCAGGAGAAAAAAAACCAGATTTGATAGAATGAAAATCATTCCCATGACAATTTGAGACATAAAAAGTACTGCATGACATAATGCAAGCTTTTTGGTTAACATATTAGAAGCTACCAAAAAGTTGTTAAGGGTTTTCACTTGGCAGTCATAGGAGACACCATCTGGTTTTGGTGGTTTTTAGTGTGTTAATTGGAAAATATATTGCCAAAATTGAGCTGATTTTCAGATTAAAAGATTCACTCAAGACTTTCTGAAACTAACTTGTATTGTACAAAAGACACACATATAAAAATCAAAGTTCACATCTATTTGTTATACATACATATGAACAGAGATTCCCCCATCAATTCCAGATTATTTAACTGGTTAAGAAAAACAGGTACAGCAATGCTATGACTGTCATGGCAATCCTGAATGTAAGGAGTGTTAGAAGAGGCATCAAAGCAAACAAAATTAAACAGGTTTAAGTACAAGTCAGGTAAATATATATTTTATTACAACCGGAAAAGGAAGGGTTGGTCACATCTTTCCAACAACTCTATTAACTTCTATCAACATGGGTCAGTAACAGAGAAAGAAGAGAGGTAATAAACATGAAAGAGCAGCCTGCTTTGCAGAAAAGATAGGGGAGTTTAGTAAACATTTATTAAACAAAAATATGCTTTACCAAACTATTATTATTAGAAATATGCAGATTCTGACAACACTCTTACACTTCAGTCTACCATTACTACAGAAGTGTGTAGTCTTTTCATTCCATGTTAGCCAAAATCCAAAGAATGATGAAAGCAAACTGAGTATTTTGTGTCCAAAATATACTTTTCATAATATAGACAGGTTACACAGACACCTAAGAACCATCAAGGATCCAAGAGTGCAATGAGAGATGCTTGGATTGACACAAGCTTCCTGTGGTGACAGTTACTCTTACCAAGTGGTACCCAACCCCATATTCCCTTTTCACATGTTTACACCTATTTACTCAAAATTCATAGATTTCCTGGAAGAAGGCAAAAGGTTAGCAGAGATTCAGGGCACATCAGAAACTCCCAGCTATCAGACTTACTGCTCTGTCATTATAGAAGGAACTCCCACCTCCCACATGGCAGCTAACAAAGAGATCCCAAGGTCAGTTCATGTTCAATAAATGCACATTTAATTCCATTTCCAGAAAAACAGCACTCCATGTGTGTGCTGTGCCTTCTCTGCAAGCTGAAAATGCCTGAGCAGCTCAGAGATCCCAAGACACACTAACTTCAAAACAGCTGGGAGCAAAATAGCCTCAGAAAAACACAGTTCTCAGTAACCAGCCTTTTCATGGCTGCATTTATAAATCCCTAGACCACTATGAAATAGAATGGGAAAGAGCAGTAGTAGCTGAAACAATCAATTTTTTGTACTGGCACACCAATTTTCTAGAACATTTTTGATGAAAATTATATTAGGTTTTCTAAGAGGATATTACTTAGAAATAACAAATTAAAAAACCCTGCCCCTCCATTTAAAAAAAAAAATAAAATCACACACGAAACCAACAACAACAAAAAAGGCAGGAAAGATAAAAGTAATTCAACCTTGAACAGACACGTAAGAGAAATATAAATAAATAAAAGTATACAGATAAATAAAATAAAGTATTGCTCTACTAAGGGAGAGGGTCATGACAGAGAATGCCAGCTGGAAGTTCCAACTGCTGTTCCAAGCTTTACAGTGAATTGAATTTCAAGATAGAAAGTTGGGTGAAGGAATCTTGCTTGCTTACATAACTCGCTATCTTTCTTCCTTGTAATCTGGTGAGTGCAGCAAAGGAAATATTTCCCTGAATATCTGCAGCAGCTCTCTATAAAAATCTGCATATTTCATTTCAAACTGAATATAATAGACTCTGTAGGCATCTGAAAGATTAACCCCATTTCAAAAGAATGGTTAAAAACCCTCAGACATTCCTCATCTTAAATTGGCATTTAATAGTCAAATGTTTTGTACGAAGAAAAACAGTTTTAAAAAGAAATTATTTTGCTAGATAATTCTCATAACTACAGAAAAATCTTTGCTACATCTCCATGACAACAAGGAAATGTTAATTTGTTAGCTCAAAGTCCTAGAGGGTTTCCACCTGCCATAGCCTCGTTACACACCATAAATTACCATTACACTTACATAATTAAGAAAGAACTGTCTCTGATGATTTGCTGTTACATAGCACATTCCATCTATTCAATTCCTTATTACATCTCAACTCAGCCAAAGGTCATAAGAACAAAAAAAAAAAGGAAAGCTTTGAATAAACTGTCTGCCACTTTTCTGGCTCCAGTTCCAAGTTACCCTGACCTGGTCCTGGCTGTCTTTGCATGGAAATAAAATAATAGCAGCCAACAAAGTGTGTTTAAGTGAATGATAGTATGTGTCAAAAAGAAAAATTTACTGAGAACAAAAAGAGTTATTTCTGCCAAAATCCTCACTACCAATAACATACATTCTCGTGTGAAGAGAATGCATGATTTCAAGGCTAAATGCACTGCCATCTACCACATTTTTTACACTCAACTTTCTCAAAGTCTTGAGTGCCAATTGGAATACTCAGAAAGGTATAAAAAACCACTATATCATAACAAACCACAGCTTTGCAAACAAACATTCTTTAAATGTTTCTTCCTAACAAACATCATAGAGAGGAAAAAGAAAAACATGAGAAAAATAGAAATCTGAAATTTCTTACTGTTACACTTCATTGCTCCTCCCAGCCTAATAAAAATAGGAAAAAATTAAATCCTGACAGGTTTCAGAAGAGAACTGCAGCAAAAAAAAAAAAATAAAAAAGATAATGGACTCCCTGAAGAAAAGGAGTTGAAGGCCACTGGTATTTTATTTTGGGTCTGTATGCCTCTTGGGAAGCAAAACTCTTGAGCTCCATAATGGTAGCTAACAGTGGTGCTTAGGAAGCAATAGGCACCATGAGGCTGAGCTGCAGGAAATGTGACAGCAGTACCACATAGCTAAGATGGGACTTAAGAAATACAAACATATTTTTTGGGTTTTTTTCCTAATTAAAGGCTTCTTCAAATACTTCCTAAACCATCCTCCCTATCTTTCCAACAGATTTTTCAAATTTAACTAAACCCATCCATAGCAATACATGGAACAAAGACACGGCTTTTTTAATAAACAAACTTTAATCTAATGGATGTTGCTCTAGTATCAAAAGTTGTAGGTTTACCAAATTATCTACATACTCTTTAGTGAAGATTCCTCGAGGCCCAGTAGGTGTAACATTGCTTGGATCTAGTCCGTGTGTCTCCAGAATGTTGCGAGCTGCAGGACTTAAACGAACCCTGAAGAAAAAATGGGGGAAAAAAATTATTTAAATAGTAAGATTAATTTATTTCAATAAATGTACATCATTATAAACTGCATTTCTCTCTGGTCAACTACAAAGCACAGTACATTGGTACAGAGTACCCAGTGCATTTTAATGATTTGTTTTCTGATATGAGGAGAAAAGCCAACATCTAGAGAAAATGTTTTAGAATTCTTAGATACAAAGCAACAACATGCTCATAAAAGAATAAATACTTGCTTTCAAGTCTTTCCACAAAATCTCCTATTCATTATTTCCTAAAGGAGACTATATCTGCATGACATTGAATTTTAAGAACGGTCCATTAAGCCCTTGCCAAAAAACCCCATGTCATAAATGATCATTTGGTTCCAAACATGCTGATACATCTCTAAGAGTTGCAGTGAAATAGAACTTCTGATGTTCTTAGGTACTAAAATGAAAGACATAATCCTTTCAAGGATCCTTTTGTGGATCATCCTCCTACTACAGGTAATGCCTGGGCAATGACCTCAGTTGTCTTCCACTTGCATGACAAAAGCCTAAATGCTGGCAGCACTTAGAACACGACAAACCAGACAGAAACGGTAATGAGGTTTGGGGGGAAAAAAAAAAAAAGCACAAATAAGGAGCAATACCTCCACACGATGTATCCTGAGACACGAAGTGATTTGAATTATTGTTACCTGACTAACACTCTGGAGCTGACCACTGCTCCAAGATGTTTGCTTAGAATACCAACAGATCCAAACCAAACTAACAAAGAGCACATAAACCGACTGGTTTAATGTTTTCAGAACAGTGGAGTGCAAAAAGCTTAGAGTAATTTTTTTTCTAATATCAAAAATGCAAGAGCTTGGAAGGATTTCCGAGTGTGCCATTTTTGTTCATTTTTTCTCCTCAAATAAATAGAAAACAAGTAATAGGTACACCTAACATCTGATGCATAAGTACTATTGTCCATCCTGTATTAGCACAATTTCTTCTCAACTGTAAGCTTAGAATCCTTCATAATTTAATTGCAGGACAGAATAAAAGCACATTTAATTACAGTAACATTATGTTGTTTGAATTGGTTTACAGAGCTTATGAGCAAAGAAATAGTCCAGGCCTGCAAGGTTTATCACCTCACTCATACTGAAGCACTCTCAAACTAACAGCCTACTACTGGGTAAAAAGAGACAAAAATATTTCTTGGTTTAGTTCTACTGATCTAATGAAGAGTCCTCTTTCACAACAAACATAGAAACTTACTGCAATTTCCCAGGTTGATGTTGCAGTTTAGGAGGGGCTGAAACCGAAGGAGCTGCAGGAGCTGGGGCAGGTGGAGCCACAGGAGATGGAGCACCAGCATCAGCTGGTATTTCAACCTGCTTCCAGTCCTGTCCTTCCTCTACCAGCAGACCAATTAGTGAGCCCAAGCGAACATTTTTGCTTCCTTCTTCTACCTAAATTAAGAACATTAAGTTACATATTACATTGTCTGCTCTAATATGACTAAAGCCAGTAGATGTCAAAGTTTCAGGCATATTAATGACAATTCATCAGTAAGATATATCCCATTTTACTGCTACTTTTAATAAAATATTTCAAGACTGAAATTAATTATAATTGCTATTATAAGGAGAGGAACATTAAATTATGCCCCAAATCCCATACACCTAAAGTTAGCACTCAGAAATCAAAGTAACTTTTTATACACACAGCCTTTGCAGCTCAGAACTAGAATAGATGAAAAATTGTTACAATTTTGCTTTTTATCCCCCGGATTTTTGAGTCACTGCTACATTTTCATTACTGAAAATAAAAACAAACCTCTGCATAAACCTCAACGAACCCTAGAATCTCAGATGCAGAAAAAGGTGAAGTAAGTAGAAGGACTTGATATTCCTGGGATGAGAGCCTGGACACAAGCCAAGAGTGTGGATTTGCAGCCCAGAAAGGCAAAGGCAAAGGCAAGAGTGTGGCCAGCAGGGTGAGGGAGATGATTCTGCTCCTCTACTCCACTTTTGTGAGACCACAGCTGGAGTGCTGTGTCCAGGTCTGGGGTCCTCAACAAGACATGGACCTGTTCAGGGTGGGTCCAGAGGAGGGCCACCAAGATGGCCAGAGGGCTCCTGAGGTTTGGATCTCCAGGTGCTCTCAGCACCCACTGGTCAAGTTATTTTCTTTCATGAACCAAGCAGCTAATAGTTGCTACAAAGTTATTTATTGCAGAAGCACATCAGCCTCAAAAGCAGAAGGAAAGCAAAGAAATGGCAAAAGCACATGGCATAAAAAGCAAGTGGCAAAAAGCAATGGCATAAAGCACCAGCTCTCCCTAATGTGTGTTCTTTTATAGAAACCTCCCAACTAGCTAAGACACAAACTCTGACCACTACTTCTTAACCTGTTAGAATTCTAGTTTCTTAGCATGCCAGGCTATGTATAAACTACATACATGGCCTATCTTGTTCTAACTGAAAAATGTAAGCAATATTCTTAACTATAACTCTATTATGTCTGAAGCTAGGTTCTTGCAGCCTCCATGGAAACACTAGTATCTAAAACATTCAACCTTCACTAGAACTCGAACTTCTACACTGGTATCTAAGACCTTTTACTTACTAAAACCACTTAAAACTTACTCCATCTACTCACTCATTCCATCTACTTACTTGCTTATACTAAAACTTAAACTTATACCTCTATTTTATGTGTGTGTGGCTTAACATCCTTCAATCCATCCAAAGGCTTTAATTCAATCCCTACACTGATTTCTCTCTGAAGAATTCAGAGAGACCCCTGACTTACTGACTCCAACAGGGCTGAAGCATTTCTCCTAACAAAGACAGACTGAGAGAGCTGGGGTTGCTCAGCCTGCAGAAGAGAAGGCTCTGGAGAGACATTAGAGCAGCCTCCAGTACTTACAAGAGTCTTACAAAAGGGAGGGAGACGGTCTTTTTATACAGGCAGGAAAAGGGGCAATGGTTTAACCATCAAAGAGGGCAGGTTTAGATTAGAAAGAAATGCTTTACTCCAAGGTGGTAAAGACTGGAACCCTGTAAGGGTTGTGGATGCCCTGTTCCTGGAAGCATTCAGGGCCAGGCTGGATGGGGCCCTGTGCAACCTGATCTAGTGATTGGCATCCCTGGTACAAGATGATCTTTAAAGGCCCTTACAACCCAAAACATTCTATGGTTCTATGTAGCCAAGAAGGGTCAAAAAAACCCCTAGCTTTGCTGACAAACCAACAAAGCACAGGTGACCATGACAGGGAAAAAAAAATGGAGATAAAGTGAACAAAGAAGTAGAATTCCCTTGGGGCTTTTGCCACTGCAGCATAGTCCTTTAGTCATTAACAAATATATACTAAAGTAAATGTTTATGGGAAGAATGGGAAGAAAAAGAGACAGAACTTATGCTGGCTCATTCTGTGGTAGATTTTTTTATACAAAGTGGTTTCCATACCAATTTCTCAATTAGGTCATGAATGAGAAAATGGTGAGATACTAATATTAAGGAAACCTTCCTGTCTGACTGTCCAAGAGCCACTCTGGCAATCACAGTCCCACCACGTGAGCAGGGACCAAAGCCCCTTTAGAGTGGCTGGCTCCAGTGACCCCATGAGCCTCGTCTGGCCCCCACACCCAGACAGGGCTTCCTCAACAGGCTGACCCTGGATTTCCCATAGCAGAATCTCACACATGGATCCCTAAAGCAATTTTAATTGTGGCCCAGTAACACAAAACCAGCTCTAGCTGGTGCCTCTGGAAAGGGAGCCTGAACAAAGCAATCCCTGTGCTTCCCTACCCTCAGTCTGTGCTGCTGATAGTCTGGGACAGTCCTCCTGCAGAGCCCTTGGCTCCTGCTGTGTCCCCGTGTCAGGTCCCCTGGCCAGTGCCACAGGTCCCTGTGCCCTTTGCTGTGCTAAGGGTCAGCACCAGGTCACAGCCCCCTCCTTGTCTGGGGCTCCCACCACATCTCCCAGCCAGGGCAAACCTGCAGCTCCCACTGCAGCTCCCACCACATCTCCCAGCCAGGGCAAACCTGCAGCTCCCACTGCAGCTGCACACCCAGTACCTGCTCCAAGTGTATCCCTCAACAATTAATTACAGTTCTTAAACTATCATTCATCATCTGTTTTATTCCAAATTGAACTGTGAAGTATTTTAGGGAAAAAAAAAAAAAAAGAAAATCAGTGTTAATTTAAGAAGCAACTCTACTGAAAGAATAATCATCATTCTGAAATTACCCTTCTAATACTTCATTCAGTTATTTAATCTTTTACTGCATTTTACACTGAATCAAATGTGATCATTATAAGACTTATGCAGATAGAGAAGAAATATATATGCATGAGTTTCTATTTTACTGTTAGCCTGCTCTTCCTAAACCATACATAGGTTTTACAGTCAAGAAAAACTAAGAAGGGTTACAGAAGTTGAATTAATTTAACCTAATGAACCTCCTATCTTTAAATGTAAAACTCAAAGCATTAAGCAGACAGTGTGCCCGTTTGACTCAAATTTTCCATACTGAACTCCACCAAGATGATTCAGAATTGTAGCTGGCATCAAAAGAAACAACATTTTTGTCTCATTTCTTTTAGGAAGTGAGTGAAATTCAGCCAGATGCTAGCTCAGATACACAAAACATTGTTTAATTCCCATCCACTACATCACATGTGAAACTTCTGAGTGGCCCTTGGAAAGACAATCTTTTCAATAAGTAATTATCCCATCCACAAACCTGACACAGCTCATTTTCTAAGCCTTACAAAAACATCTACTGAACACCTATATACAGAGCAGAAATATCCACCCAGATGCTGCAGAAAGACAAAAAAAGAATCACACCTGAGCTAGGGAAAAAAAAAGAAAAAAATTGGAACATTTCTAATCTTATTGCTCTCTTGTTATTTTAGTTTCTGAAATACCAGGTTTTTTTCTGTATTTTTTAGGAGACTGGAATAAAAGCCTGTCTATTCTGTACTCTAATTCTTAGGCTCATCATTTCTAGATTCCAAGGATTAAAAGAAGTTATTAAAAATTGGGTTTGCATAATGATCTGTTCACGTTACTCCAATAAAGCTGCCTCTCTTCCCTTATTCTGAAAGACATTATAGTTATTTTCTACCTCCTGGCATCTCCTTCTCAGGTTTAGCTCTTAGCTTTGGATTGTTACTGGATGATATGGATATAACTAAGGCTGAATGTCACTGCTCCATGACACTGATATCATGTAGCTGCTGGAAAGTGTGGCTTTGATCTATCAAAAAACGTGCCACAAGAGCAATACAGAGAAATTCTGAAATTTACAGTGCATTTGAAATACAAGACAGGAAACAAAAAAAACCCACACCTTCCGAAATACTAATGTTTCTTGAAGTCATCATGAATTACTATTAAAAAAAAACCAGCAAATTTCAAAATTTTTAATATCTCTCTAGGATTAATTCTTTAATACTTTTGACAGAGAGAATCCCCGTATCTCCCCCTCACGTTATCTAACAAAGCAGTTTCTGCAAATGCAGAGTAAGTTGCCCAAGCTTTTGTCAAGGCTATTAGGAGCAAACTGACGTTCAGAAACATTCAAAACTGAAGAAGAGAGATTTAAAAATAGTGAAAGCAATTAATTAAATAACGGCATGGAGACTAAACACAGATTAAAAAACACATCCAATGTGAGACTTCATCCTGGCATAGCAGAACAGATCCTCTGAAACTTATTAAATGTGTTGTTCCATAGCTGAACACAAATTTAGCAACACAAAAGAAGGAAATAGATTTTAAAAACTCTTGTCTATATACACTAGTGCTCAAATGCAAGTTATTCTGTAGAAATTGAACACTAATGACAGTTTTTGTAAGCCCTGACAGAGTTCATTTACAGCTGAGTTCCATCTTACATCCCCTCTCCTCCCTACCCCAGCCCATCTCTCTTGAGACTTTCACTTTTGCAAAGGATGTTGCCTTTGCTTATACGAAAAAGGAAGATCCCAAACAGAACATCACTTCTCCAATGCTGTCACACAGGAAACCACTCTCCCTTTTCTGTTTTTGCAAAGGATAACTGTGCCAATACATTCTGATGTAAGAAAATGCAGCTGTAGCAGAGATAGGAAGTCTAATATACCAATCCAAAAAGCTTTTATAAAAGCAGCAGAAACACGTGTCTCACTGTGCCTAGGATAGAATTTTCTCATGGCTCCAGGAACCAGTTTGTGCCCATGCCAGTTCTGCTGTTTCCTAAGTAGCTGGATTGCAATTAATACCAGTATGCCTAATTTGTATGACTATGTGATCCATACCTCATGAGTAGATATTCCCAAATGAGACCTCCCTAACCAAATGACATAATATTTACTGAAAGTACACATCTCTCATATTTTTATTCATTTTATTCTAAATTCTTGCATTTCATCCTGTTGTTTAATTACTGTGGAGGGAGAGAAGGAACAGCTGAAACTGCTTCAGAAAATTTCCCACTCATCCCAGTTTTTGTTCTTTATATTAAGCTTAATCAATCTAAATTAGAGGAAATTATTGACTCCAAGAACTGTTCTCTGGGTCAGTCCATCTTGTACAACATTCCACCTTGAATGACTAGCACAGGACAATCTAGCACAGAGATGACACATCCTGGGTAAAGTACCACCCAAAATTCCATATTCCAATTGATTGTTAATTGCTTTCCTGCAACTCTTTATGGACATAACTCACCAGGTGTTAAGACATACAAAATAACTTAATCAGGTTAAGTAAAAAATCCATTAACTACATACAGAATCATGTACCAATAGTCTGGTACACACATGGCAAAAATAGAGCAATTATTTCCCCCCACGAATGCAAGCAAGTGCATTTTTCTGAATGCTGAACAGAAATTTAGTTATCTAAACTAGTTTTTGAGGCAATATGCTAAACAACAGTCTGAAGTTATATCACCCTACTGAGAAATGCAGGATTCCTACCAGGATTTTAGCCAATATGCCTTCATCACTTGATTCCATGGCAACCACTGCTTTGTCTGTTTCAATTTCACACAGCACATCTCCAACACTCACTGTGTCACCTGCAAAACACAACAGAACTTCAGAATACTTACCTTAATTTCCTTTCAGATTTGTTTAACCATGGAAGACAGATATTCACCACATAATATAGTAATTTTGGATCCTTCAATATATTTTATAGCGAGTTGATCTCCCATCATGACTTATTGTATCTTTCTCCAAATAAAATCCCCAAGATTCAAGAACCACAAACTGCTTTGGCAGAACACTGACATGCTCCAAGAATTGATGTTTACAAGAGGCTTTCCAAGAGGAAGTACAAATTTATTTCCAGAACCCTATATTCAGTAGCACTGCCATGAATAAAATACTGAGCCTTCCATATTCACTGCTAGCCACCAGTCAGAGCAAGCTATCTAATACTGCTTGGGACAATGGTACACAGTTCTGTAACTGGTGTCTACACTATTAAAGACATTCAAATAAAAATCTCAGGATTTTTAATGTCTTTGGGAAAGCACAGCTGCAAGATTGTTTAATCTCCTATACGGTTCAGACAGGTTTTTTTTAAACATTCATTCATACTTACTTTGTGAAATAAAAATACACACAAGTGCTATAAATTGCCTTTGCTACATTACACAAATCCAAGATTAATTCTGAAGCATACTCTTCTTCTGCTTTTGAAGAATCTCTGTATCTGCTAGCAGATGATAAAGATATTATGTATCTGGATTATTTCAACAAATCAATACTAACTAGATGCCTAACATTAAAACTGACATTGCATTAAAAACTGTGAGGTAGTTGAATGTTTTGGCTTCCTACAAAATACAGCTTTTATTCCTTACAGAGACGACACATACAAGCCTAAAACATGCCTACAATTTTATATGAAGTAAAATTTTAATATTTCCCCATTACCAGAAATGCTGCAACAGCATTAGATGTCTAAGCATTTAGCTTAACTACTGATTAACTACTCTATTATGCTTAAGGAGCAGAATTAAAACCTAGTGCAGGTTATCACCTACATTTAGGCAAGAGACAACATTATTAAAAAAAAATAAATTTCCCCTTTCAGGACTACATGAACTAGAAAGGGAAAATGAGGTGTTGTAGCTCATTTGTGTTGAATGAAAACATCAAAAGCTCAGTCACCTACATAGTTTTATAAGTCATAAACATTCCTATTACAGAAATTGGTGGAGAAATATACTTCACCTTTTTAATGTAATAATCTAACAGCCACATTCCCGTTTGCAATAACTAGAGCATGAACAGTTTATAAGAGGAAGTCAAAACTCCAGGCTCTATATGAGTGTTTTAATCTCACTGGATCATTAATTCAAGTAGGCCATATATCAGATCATTAGGCAAGTATTTCTCAGCTGTTCAGAAATCAAATTGTTGGGCAAATTGTGTAATTTCCAGAGCTAAGATTGGCAAGCAGAAAGGAGGCTAACTCTGTATCCTAATCTGCATTCTGCACCATTATGAAAAAATCTCAGAGTGAAGTGCTCAGAGCTCAGCAGCAGCACCTCCAGCAGGGGAAGCCACCAAAGACAAACACCTGCATCCCTGTGTTTGTCACACATCACATCTCAGCTTGGCTATCTGAGGCTGTCCACAGAAAACTAAGTGTTGTCTTGCACAGGGAGAGCAAGAGGGAAAATCTTTAGAGAACTTTAGAGAAGTTTCCACTTTTTTTTTGTTTTCCTTTCATTGCTGCAGCCATAAACTTACCACAAATTTGAAAGGCAATTGAATAAATGCAGTATAAAACTTCATAAGAATTCATTTCACTGCAGCATTCAAGTCCTGTGAGTGTTTCAGCACCCAAGTGCAATACAAGGACTACTTTCATTAGAGATTGCAATATTTGTGATAGCTCTTAACTGATGCCCAGTTTGATGTCAACTACAAATGAGCTTTCCTAATAATTAGGATTGGAAAGAGCACTTCTGCAAAGCATATCTTTGTTCTTACACTATAAACTGAGAGAGCAGTATTTGCAACAAAAGTTGCCTGAACCAGAGCTCTCTAAGATTATATATAACACCCTTGAAAATTTTTGGGTGAGGTTCAGGTTTGTTTGTTTTTTGATATTTTGCTTCTTAATTTGTTTTTGGTTTGGTTTTAATGGTTAAATTGCCATAGCTAAGCTGAATGGTTAGGATCTCTGCTGAAGCAGAGTCTCCTTTTCCAGGAGATCCAATTGGCATCCAAAACCCTTAGTGCTCTGTCCAACTACAGACAGACAAGTATCCAAATCACAAGACACTAACTGCATTTCTTAATATTGCAAATAAAATCAGAGTTGACTGAACACAGATACTGAAGTCCCTGGAGCTGATGTCTCAAAAGGTAGCAGAGTTACACTGCATGTGGAAGCTGCCAGCAATGTTGTATCTTCTGTTTTCTGCCCACATTAACAAGAGGATTTTGGTCTCCTGGGCTGTCAGTCTACCATCTTTCATCAACATTAAATTCATACATAATAAATAGAAGTTTTTAGAAACGTAGTTTTATCTCTGTGAAAATGACTTTATTACCCACAGGAATCAACATGAAACCGCATTAACAATGAGAAGGAAAAGTAAAGCTATCAGTTAAATTCAGCTCTTTCCCTTCTGTGGCAGTGAAATTATCTGTCCATCCTGTGAAACCATAAAATGAAAACACTTGACATTTACACAAAGAACAGAAAGATCATCAAAATAGTATTATACTGACCCCTTCTGGTTAAACAGTGGAAAAAAGATTTCACATGCAAGCAGCTTGCTTCTGTCAACTGCTTAAAAAGATTTATTTTCTTGGACAATTCAATTGCCAAACGTTTATATTCAGCAATAACACTACTTTTACATGGCAAACACTCCAGACAATCAAGTAGTTAAGAGCATCCCTTACAGAGAGGCGTGTAAGCATTAAATCACTATTTTCTTCAAAATTTATCTTTTTTTAAATATTGTCTTTATGTTTGCTGTCCAGACTCTTAGAGGAAACAAAAGTATTGATAGGAACTAATTATGGTCACAGGTATGGCCACTAAGACAAAACACTATATTTGGGTTTGGTCTCCTTTCTAAATAGAGAACTAAAATAATTTTCTTTCAAAGGCTAATCGTCAATTAAGATTTGATTTTAATTTCATTAAAATAGGTGTGAAGCTTTCTTTTGTGTTAGGGTGGAAGGCTAGTGGAAAGACAAAAAAGCCCCCATTGTATTGCTTTTACATTCTAACACTTTTTTATGAGGAAAGTGGATTCATTCACATTGGGGAGCCAACTGGAAGCTACTCAACTTCAACCATGCTCTCTTTGCTTTCTCTTGCAATTTTGAATGCTGTAATTACTGTAAAACAGGCTGTTTATATTTAGTGTTTTACAATTATTGACAACTAACAAATAAAAGAAGGACTTTGGATCATTCTTTTCTCTTTGCATCATCCTGAACTTTACTAACTGAAGCTTCAAGTTTCAAGAACACCGGCGCAAATTTTTTTTAATAGACATGAACTTCTGAATTGTTCCAGTAAATTCTGAAAAAATTTCATGAGTGAAAGGTCCAATCCACTACTGGAGCAAGAAGCTGTCTTCCAGCCACCTCTCAAAATGTATTGAAAATGCAGGAAAGCAAAGTTCTCCAGGAACACAACAATGGAAGCTGTATCAACCCTTGAAAGGACAAGCCAAAGGAAAAGGCTTACCTAGGCACAATAGTCAAAACGTGTTTAGCTATGCAAATTGTGTCTGTCAAACATAATAAGATTTAAGATATTTCCTTTTCTCCAGATGTATTCATCTCTTTAGCAAATCTAAAAATGCCTGTGAACAAGATATAATCCTACTGCTATCCTAAACCCTGCAATGTATCCTATACCAACAGCTACCTAGAATCCAAAACTACAGTCAAAATTCAGGTTTAATATAAAATTGAAGAAGAGACAGGGTAGGATTAAACAGGACAAACATCTCCTGACAGAACAGGAACTGCTGACTCTTCTACAGATCATTTTTCATTTACATACAACCTACATGAAGACAAAACTCGAGAGACTTTTTAGTCCAGTTGCTCCAAAATATTTAAACAGAAGCAAATAATTGTCAGAGCACAGAGTTCAGGCTTTTTTGGGATGAGTAGGTTGGTTTTCAGTTTGGGTTCTTTCAGGGAAAAATTTTCCCATTTGCTACTAGGGTTGTGAAAGTAATTTAAATTTCTCTCAGTTTTAACTGTAGACTATGATTAAGATATTTAAAAAGATATTCAAAAATACCATATTTTTCATGGTATTCCATAATACAACAGAATAATGAGAGAGAGATTCTCCCCAGAGTCAATGGCTCTCAGACTTCCAAAGCTACTGAGCAGCATGACAACACTGGGAATTAAAAACAGCAACACATTCACACCCTGGAACAGCCTAATGGAAATTTTTCAAAAATATTACCAATGCAAGCTTTTGGAAGACAATTATGCAAAAAACATTTCAAGAATGAACAATTTCAAAGCAGGTATAGTTCATGATGACAGCATCCGTACACCAAACATTTTGCTTCAAAATACTGATGTATAACCAGGAAGAATTATCTTATTTTTACAGAATAGGTTTACATAGCTGAAAAATTACAAAAAATGTGACCACAGAAAATGCTATCTTACCTTCCTTTTTTAACCATTTCACAATGTTTCCTTCTTCCATTGTTGGAGATAGTGCAGGCATAAAAATTTTAATACCAGGTGTACCTGCAAAACAAGCATGTGGTATCTCAACTGAGTACTTTTTCAGTATAACTTTTCTCTCAGTTAATTGCTTAACACAAATGAAACTAAAAGTGCATGAATCTGAAAGATAACTGAACAAAAGATTCACTGTGTTGCTCTTTTTTTAAAGCTTACATACAAGCATGCCCAGCAAAGAGCTTAAAGGAAAAATTTCCATTACAAGAGAAATAGAAATTCACAAACCCTGAATTCCTAGACCTGAAGTTTTGTTGATCATCTCAAAATCCACTAAAAGCACCACATCCTCTTATCTATCTCCTGTCCTCCTTCTCCTCCTTGACTCAGGCTGTGGAATTTTTTCCAGATTCAAGCATATCTTTTAAATAAAGCCTTTGTGATCCTAATATTCCAGACACTGATGATCTACCTCTTCCACTGATAAACTTTTGAAATGTTTATTTATCCTTTTTACTAGAAAACTCTATCTACTTTGCAGAAATGGCTTGATTTCAAGTTTCAGTGATTTCATCTTGGTTCAGTAAACCCATATGCAGAAGCAGCACTGTGTAACAGCAGGTGTGTGCCATGTTAGTGGAATTCTTCTGAGGGCAGAGCTCAGGATACAGTCCTTGGCTTCACAGCAAATTACACCTCTTGGCATCTGATCCTCTATACCAAAGAGGAGTATTCTGACATTAATATGAGAGATACTACCTTTCTGCACTTTTAAATATAGTTATGATGCAAAAAAAAGGCATCTTTTTAGATCAGTTTTGGAAAAGCAGCTTTCCAGTACCCGATTTTTGAGGTTCTTTCTTGAACTGTGATGCCTGAACTTGTGTTCATTTACAGAACAGAAATAGACACATAGAAGGTACATTGTATACAATGGCAAGGCTCATTTCTGCTTCATTGTCCCAGCATTAAGGATTGTTACCATTCAATAGGAAACAACACTACATTTCTCCCAGTTGCTGTATTGCTTGGAGTAGTCAGAAACAGCTAAAAAAACCTCATAGAAAATAATAATTTTTTAGTTTTTTTTTCCTTATTATATGCTTTTCAGCCCAAAATTCTTCTCGTTTTCTTCCTTGCCCCCTTTTTTTTTTTTCCTTTTCCAGAAGCTGTGCTAAGGCACATGGAGAACAGGGAGGTGATTCAGGACAGCCACAACAGCTTCACCAAGGGCAAGTCCTGCCTGACCAACCTAGTGGCTTTATATGATAGAATGACACCAGCAAATACAGAAGGGCTATGGATGTCACCCCTCTGGACTAAGAACATTGTTCTCTGTAAATTGATGAATTTGATGGGTAGACTGTTCCATGGGTGAGGAATGGGTTGGATCCAGAGGGTAGTGGTCACCATCTCAATGCCCCCACGGCCATTGGTGACTCTGAGAAGTACTGGCAGATGAAAAGCTGTCATGTGGCAGGTTAAGGCTCACAGCCCAGAAAGCAAACACAGCCTGGGACACACAAAAATCAGCGTGGTCAGCTGGTCAAGGGCAGTTCTGCCTCTCTAGTCTGATGAGGTCCCACCTAGAGAAATGCACCCAACTCCTGAATCCTCAGCACAGGAAAGACAGGGATGTGTTAGAGGGGGTCCAGAGGACAGCCATAAAAATGATGAGGGAGGGAGCACCTCTTGTATGAAAAAAGATCAAGAGAGCTGGGGTTGTCGGAGGAGAGAAGGTTCCAGGGAGACCTTACAGCAGTCTTTCAATAGTTACTAAAAAGAGCTTTTAAGGAGAGATGGGGACAGGCCTCCTAATTGAGCCAATAGCAGTGGAACAAGGGGTAATGGTTTGAATCGAGAGAGGGAGGATTTAAACTGGGTGAAAGGAAGATTTTTACAATGACAGAGATGAAACACAGAACACAGAAACAGGCTGCTCAGAGTGGTGGTGGACACCCCAGCACTGGGACCAAGCAAGGTCAGGTTGGATGGGGTTCTGAGCAGCCTGGTCTATTTGAAGATATCCCTGCTCATTCCAGGGGGGTGGACTAGATGACCTTTAAAGGTCCCTTCCAACCCAAACCACTCCATAATTTTTTTTTAAATGTGAAATGGAAACACTGTAGCAAACCCCTAATGACCTAAGCAGCCATCAATGATCCTGACATTTTAAAATGCACCAAGAACAGAAAGTGAGTTAGTTATTCCCTAAAGCCCCCAAGATAGCAACACAATCAGGATCATGCAACCCCAAACACTGGAGTTTTGTGGAAATGAGCTCAATTGCATGGCTGACATTCCCAGAAGACCGCATGAGCAAATACACCTTTTTTTTTTTGTCTCAGTCTTTCCATGGTAGTTTAAGTTTAATATTACTCATTATTGTGATATTTAGAAATGTATCCAGACAACGTTCCTTGTAACACTCAATTCCCATCTGAATTACCTCCATGCACTTTCTTGAAAAAGTTTCTTGCAACTTCTCATCTAGGACTAATATACAGAAAAATGAGCCACGTTATGTATGTGAATGCTTATCCGTGTTCATTTACCAAATAAAGTTTTGTAGTATTTAAAGTATGACTGACAAATTAAAGTATGAGTTAACAATTGTCTTATACTATACATATACTCAAAAATAGTTTTTCAGTAACAGCAAGTAGAAAACATTACACATTATAGGATGCAAAGAAGTGTTCTCAGTTTCATCAGTCTAACTTGACAAGTCTGGCTTTGACAATCAAAAACTTATTTTGAAGCCATATCCCACAAATATCTAGGATTATTGAGAACTAGTGGACAGACCTCACTTTAAAAAGTGAAAATAATCCACATTTTTAATGAGAAAAAAATTAATTTTTGAACATGGTGGTTCAAATTTCTCTTCCAGAAAGAGCTACTTGATCCATTTCCCAGAATATGCTTCATACTTTGGCACAAACACAAAACTGAGCAACAAATTTGTGCCACTGTAACACTTTCCCTTCAGTGTTATGAGCAACTACCACAAAACACATAATCCATTCTGGTCCTTTTATCAAGTTAGAAGATAAAATCCAAAAGCAAGTAGCCATGAAATGGACAAGTAAATAAATAAAATTGGATACAAAGAAGAACACAAGACCTTGTGCATCCATTTAGTGCTTATGCCCAGAGAAGTTCACACCTCTAACATAAAGAGGTCATTCTATTCTTTCTGCTTTCTCTTTTTCTTCTTTCTCTGTGACCAACAAACTAAGAATTCCATTCTGAATTAATTGTTCTAATTATGCAAAACAACTTTTCCTCTATCAGCACCACGAACAAGGACAGAAACATAGTAAGAAACAAAAAATTCATGTGACATGAAAAACTAGATCCACATGAACCAATACTTCAAATAGCAGCTTTTTCAGAAACAGAAAAGCAGAGAATTAAACATAATGCTAAAATAAAATTTACTTCTATTTACACTGTCAGACTAGGAACCAACAGTGAGTTTTATGTCCAAATGAGCTGTATTTTACCAGAGAAGTTATGACTTCTCATCTTTAATTTTAGAGGTAACAAAGTTAAGAAAAATGGTGTCACCAAAATACACACCACCTTGAAAAGCTGTAAGTACACTAGAAGGGTTGAATGAGGAAAGCTTGAATGATTTAAAGGTGTGATCTATCCACCCTAACACTTTAAAGCTTACTGTAAGGAATTAAAAGATTTTAGTCATTTGCATATCCAAATTTAGAAATTTAACTCCAGCTCAAAATAAAATACACAATAGATTGTCCGGGATGAGTGTAGACAAGAGTTACTTAAGAAGTTAAATAATAAAACTAATTTAGGAGTAGCTTATCCTACATTATATTATATTTGCCTTCCATTGTATGTAGAAAGAAGCAAGCTTTATCTAATGAAATTTGGAAACAAATAACATTTATTTCAAGAAAGGGATAGACTTCCCTGTATCACACACAGCAAGTTTTACAAAGGAAAATATTTTCATACTGCAAAGCAGCAAAGGCAACCACTGCTGGAAGGAAGGGGATGTCGAGGTCTAAACCACAATGATTAAACTGTCTCTGAACTGCTACTGAGTTTTATTACACGAGGTTAATGAAAGCTCACTTTTTTGTAAGTGCACTTAAACTCCAAAGAGTTCAGGTATTTCATGCTCAGCATCACACCAGGACCTCATAACAACGCACCTGACCATTGTTTAAATGTTTTACAAGTTGTAACTTACAGAGCAAGTAGGGAAAGATCACATTTCATTTCAGGATCCATAAACTCTTCCCACATCTCTTAGAGACAGAGGAAAACATGAAAGGGTAAATGATCTGCTTGATACTCCTGAAATACACATCTTGAAAGGGTGTTGTCATAACCTCACACCTTGACTTCTATGTAAGAAAGGATGCTAGACGTGCAATTAATAAACTCCATTTTTCCATCAAAAAAAACCAAACGGAATTACGTAAAAGATACATCACACACCGTTCTCCCGTTATTTGAAACATTACCAGGAGAATAAGATGACAGAAACGTGGTGGAATTGCTAAACATGGACCAAAAATAAGAGAAGTTCACGGAGGACTGTGTCCCGCGGGACGGAGCCCTGTCCCTGAGCAGCGGCATTAACAGCACGGGAGGGACCGACCGTGACCCTCATTCCCTCTCCCTGTGCAGCTGCAAGGGAGGACGTAGAGCAGGGTGAAGGAAAAGTGGTTTGGATTTTTTTTTTTCTGCCCACCTTCGCATTATCCCGCTCTGATTCTAACTGGCAATAACCGCAATCAACACCCCCAAATAGAGTCTGCTCTGCCCACGACAGTAATCGACTAGTGGTCTCTCCCTGTCCTCATCTCACTGCATGAACCTTCTGCTATATTTTCTCTCCCCCGCCCAGCTGCGGAGGGGAGCTGCAGAGGAGCTCCGATGAGTGCCTGACATCCAGCCAGGGTCAACCCTCTGTCCGCAGCAGATCCCCGCAGACATACCTACAGCACGGCACCCGCCCGCCACTCACCCAGCAGATCCCGGGTGCCGTGCAGGTGCCTCCAGCCTGCCCGGGCGGGCAGGGAGAGCCCCGCGCCCAGCGCCGAGCGCCCGGCCCGCAGCAGCCGCAGCAGCCGCTCCCCGCCGCCGCTCAGCCATAGGGACGCCGCCATCTTGCCCCCCACCCCCCGACCGCGCCGGGGCTGCCCCGCTGGCTGCCTGAACTGAAATAACCCGGCACGCCCCCTGCGCCGGGGGAGCGCTTCAGCGAGCCCCCGTGCCCCGCCTGCCCCTTCCGCGGCACCTGCCGTGGGATTGGCCGTCTCGATCGCCCCATGCTCGGGCAAATACAACCTGACGGGCACCCGCGCCCAGCCTGGCTGTTTATCCCCGGGGTTCACCCGCATCTCCTCTAGTCACTGCCGGCTCCCGGCCCGAGGGGAGGGCAGCGGCCTCTCCATCCCGCCCGCCGGGGCTCGGGTCGGTACCCGCGGCCGGGGTATGCCCGGCGCTCCGCAGGCGCCCGCGCGGCCGCCAAAGAAGCCCCCGAGCAAGGACCCCGCGCTGGCCTTGCCATGGCGGCCGCCGGCGGGGACGCGGTGCAGGTAACGAGGGCCGGGGGGCGGCGGGGCCCCGCCACCGCTCCGACAGCTCCCCGCCATCGCGGGGACTGAGGCTGTTCTTGAACCTTGGTAATTAGCCAGCAGCTTCGCAGTTGCTAATTATAGGGAGGCCACGGGAGTACTGGTGGATGGCAGGTTGACTGTGAGCTGGCAGCGTGCCCTGGCGGCCAGGAGGAAACTCAGCCAGCAAGAATCCTGGCGGACTCAGTGTCCAGCATTCCAGGAGCAATGTTCTTAAGCTAAAGCACAAGTTCCACCTCAACACAGGGATGAACTTCTTTACTTTGAGGCTGGCAGAGCACTGGAATAGGCTGCGTAAGGGATGGTGGAGTCTCCCTCTCTGGAAACATTCAAAACCCACGTGGAGGTTTTCCTGTGTCACCTGCTTTAGGTGACCCTGCCTTGGCAGGGGGATTACACTGGATTACCTCCAAAGGTCTCTCCCAACCCTAACTGTTCTGTGATCCTATGTAAACTCGTTATAAAATTTAATACAGTTTCCAGAATGTTGCCAGCTGTCTGGCTGCATCTACAGGACTCATGGCTTTTTTTATATTAACTGGGGTTGTTCAGGTTTGTTTTGTGATTTGGCTTCTTTTGTTTAGTTTTTGTTTTTTTTAATTGGTCTTTGTTTGGGGTTTTATGTATCATCACAGCCAGAACATGAGCTGGCAGTGCTGTGCTTCATCAAGCACAATAAACACTGAGCACATGGAAGCATCTCCTGGACAAGGCTCAGAACACCTCTCCAGTTTGTATGTGGTGAGAGACCAGCCCAGTCTTCAAAACCAGCAGGGACATGAGAGGTATCAGCAGCCTACATAATGTGGCCTGTCAGGAAGGAGGGAAAGAATGGGTCATCATAAATGAAACAAAACAAAGCAAAAAAGAAGAGCAGCAGATTGAGTTGTCATAATAACATAAAACACTGTGACAGAGGTGAAAGGGAAGACCTGCATGTCCATGGTCTTTGGTAAGAGAGAACAAATCTTGTGACTCACTGTCATTGGGGGTTATAAAGATGAGGTTAGAGTAGGAGATTCCAAAAGTCAAACGTGCTCCAGGCTGCCATCCCCAGTAATTCACCTTCCCAGTGTCCTGCCTCATGCTGCTGTTCCATGCTGCCTCCCACCCTTAGTTCTGCAAGTCCCACAGCAGCTGAAGCACTTCTGTCTAAACATTTCAGCAAAGCCATTGGCACCAAGCAAGCAGCTGCCTACCATTTCTGCTGTGTGCTGCTTTTGCTTTTTTGTTATTCTGTGGGTGTTGACAAAATACTCCCCCCTAATGTGGATTCTTGCTGCTAAACAAAATATTTTCCTTGGAAATGTTATTGGATGGGTGTTAGTGACTGATGTGAGCAGTAGAGCAGCTAATCATTTGTTATTTAAAAAAAACTTTAAGCTTCTAGTTGCTGCAATAAAAGTAATCCTATAAAAAAGGTACACCATAAAAGAAGCTGTTTTACTGTGGTAATGTCGGTAGAAATCTTACCTCTGACACTAGAGATACCTTTGGTTAATATATGGATACAGATATTACTATAATAAAAATGGAATATTAAAAAAAAATAAGATTTTTTTCCTTTCAAAGAAATATTAAAATGGTGTAATTTGCCTTCTGACTAAACTGCATGTAAAGTAACTTTGAGTTGTAAAAATGTAAGAATGCAAAATTCATAAAATAATTTGCATATATTTTCTGTGGTATTTTTTGAGTGCTGTTTAAAAATATATATTGACTAATAAAGTCTGTTCTACTGAAATTTGTAAATCAAGCAAAATAAACCTACAGAAAAACTGATTCAATAAGAAAACTATTAGTCAAGCTTTTAAAAGTGGATAATGTTAGATGCACTTATTTTCCCTTTTTTTGTGCAATAGTCCGTAACATAATCCTGCTGGTGTAATATGCACGGGCCAGTGCACTCAAATAAATTTTAGATGAGACCTTTCCTGTGAAAGATAGTCAGACATGCCCCTTATTTGGGGGTTTTGTTTGTTTCAAGCTGTGATGTCCCTGGCAGAGCATAAAGGGCATTATGTAAACATGTAATTATTTTGTAATTGAAGTTCATTAGCATAAATTAAACCATTTTGCTTCAGTATGAAAGTACTAATCCTTTAAGCTCAGATTGAGAGTTTGAATTCTTAGGTCTGAGGTGTTTCTGATGTTTTTTCATTGATTTATTTAATTTCTTTTTAGGATGGGTTACATCCAAGGAATCTTATCCCAGAGCTTTGTAGACTGTTTTATGGTTTGGGCTGGGTAACAGGAACTGGTGGAGGAATCAGCTTGAAACATGGGTGAGTAATGATGAAAGAGAAATAATGTGGTGAGAGAAAGGCTGGCTGTGTTTAGTATTTGGTGAGGGCATTTCAGTTCCATGAGAAATGTTTGCAAGTTGAGAGTGAGCAAGAAGTTAGAGGGGGAAATGAACAAATTTAACCAATAGGAGAGAGGTGAATAATCTGAATTAATCATTGCAGACCCTTCAATGGACAGAGACAACTTCAGGGAGTGACCTTATCCTGTCCTTTTCCTACCTTTGTTTAAGGTAGATGAATTGTCTTTAAAGAACAATGTGTTCCCCCTTTTTCATTTCATTGACTATGGAATTTAGAATGGGTTACATCAGGCTTTCAAATGCCTGTGGTTAAATAAGATCAATCTGAGCCTGGACATTTTGCAGGCCAGATATTTCCTCTAAGAAGGAAATTACTGTTCTACTGAGGTGATTTCTAAGAAGACAAATGCTTTACATATAATTAAAGCACAACAGGTAACAACAACAATTTTTGGTCTCTATCTCCTACAAAGAAGCACTGCTTTGTGGTTTAATTTGCTTGTCTCCCACCTATTCATAATCCCCAATCCTTTTAGTGGAAGCAGAGCTCCTCTCAGTGGCCACTGAAAAAAAGATAAGTCCTCATTCTGCAAAAAGCCTTGCACAGTGCCTGCAATTCTGTACCCAGTCACAAGGCTGTGACACAACCTTGAAAGAATCTGACCTCTCATTTTTCTAGTATACTCTTGCATGCATGCACAACCATCCATTGCTACTCAAATATGTATATTATATATATGTATATATATATATGTATGAATAAAAGACCCTGAATGCTCATAGTTGTGCTGTTTGGACTTCATGCAGGTCATTTCAACTCCCTGCTTGATTTTGCATGCAAAGCAACAGCAGTAATAATAATGAGATGAATGAACAGAGAATAAATTCTTGTTTTTAAAGTTGTCTGTGGGAAGATCTTTTTAGCACTAATTTGCCATCAGCAACTCCTGTTGGTTGTGGCAAGACAAATGGCATTATCAGAGAATGCACTAATATGGTTTTCCTTAGTATTTCTGTAGCTTCTTTACCTGGCATTGTTAGAAAGGAAAATGTAAAAGAAGAGTTGAAATTTGATTCAAATATAGCAACTGTTTTTACCAGCTAATCTTAATCAGCCTTACTCACTGTGATGTTCATATCAACTATCAAGAAAAAAAAAAGCCAAAATGCCAATTGGACTTGGCATAGCATATTAAAAATGGATGTAGAATTCTTTGTGAGGTATCTTGTATTTGAAGACTTTGTCATCAGATTTTCTCTTTCTGGTTAAGTTCTAAAAAAGAAAAATATCTGATTTAAGAAAAATTGTGTGTCTCATAAGTAACTGAATTTACCACTTAATTTCTCATCTTCCTCATGCAAATGAATCAAGACTAAATTAATGCAATGCCAGCAGCGTTAATTCATGAATGTCAAAAATTGCAAATACGATAAAATCACATTCCTCTGTGCTTCACAGACATCTTACCACAGAACAACGAGGTCTCCCCTGAGCCTCCTTTTCTCCAGGCTGAACACCTCCACTCCCTCAACTGCTCCTCACAGGACTTGTGCTCCAGAGCCTTCAGCAGCTCCAATACTCTTATCCAGAACTGCAAACATCCCATGATCCATAGGAAATGTATCTGTAACTTGCCTAATTATTCACTAGATGTCTCTGTGCTCCTGAATTTAGTATGTGACTGCTGAAGCCAAACAGTGATTGCAATTCAAGAGAGGTTCTAGTTGGGGGTTTTGTGTTAATGAGGAAAATAATGCAAGAAGTGATGCACTTCTATTTAAATTTCAATCATTTAATTGCACTGAATTAGTGCTATCTCTTTATCAACACAAATAAACATGGAACTGCACTAGAAACTTAACCTGCACAGTTGAAAAAAACAGTATTTACCATGTTGAATGTTCCAGATAATTATTACTGTTTATAGATAGTTTATGGAATTTTATGTAATTGTTTTGTCACCTGCTGTATCACAGATCAGTATCTGCTTGTAATTTCTCATTTAATTTTTATTCTGAATTCCAGAAATTTGAGTTCCTGGAGGCAGAGGCTGTTTTTCTTTGTTGGAAAAATAAGGCTGCACTTCTTACATGTGTTTTTAGGTATCTGTCAGGTTGAAAGCAGGGTTTTGTACCCCTGCAAGTTAGAGATTTTATTTGCTTTTGCACAGTTCGGTTGTATTTTGAAAACTATCTACCTGTCAATGTATGGAAAGAGCAAGAAAGGTTTTTAATTGTGAGGGTCCAGATTTGGTATTTCCTTTTCAGTGGCTCAAGAGCTCAAATGCCTGTACAGTGGAACAGTCGTTGCTCAGCTGTGCTTACTGACTTTTCTCATCTGTTCCCAGGGATGAAATCTACATTGCTCCTTCAGGAGTCCAAAAGGAAAGAATACAGGTGTGTTAAACTGTGCTTTTACCTCCAAGCTCATCCTGAGATAGATGAAAGTGCCTTTGTTTAGAGTTTCATTTTTCCTTATGTGAAGTTACAAATTTGTTATACTGTTGATTACTGCTGATTCCTGAAACAACTGATGATTTCTCCCAGCACTCCACTATCACAGCCAGCCAGTATGTGTTTCAGTGGCCAGTGTAGACTAGTCTTGACTTTCTCCTTGCTTTAAGTTAACACAAAGCAGTGTGAGAGTGGAGCATTACTCCAGTCCAGCTTTATTCTTTGTCTGGTTTGGTTGGCTTTACCTGTCTGGCTACAGTTTCAAGTTACACACATAAATAGACACTAACACCTCATCACTGTTTATTTTCATTTGAGTGATTGCAAATATTTGTCTTGATATTCTCAGTAAATAACTGGGCTCTCCCCGTGAAAAGGTGACCTTGTCTATCTGTCTGCTTTCCAAAAAGCCCCAAAATATAAGAGGAGGGGAGAATGGTAAATGATACCTATTTTATGACAGTATGGAACTCCCCCAGAATAATGCATGGAAAGGATTTGTTATCTCATAAATCTGAGGATAAATACAGTGAGGAGAGAAAGGAATTTCTTCACTGATAGAAACTTGAGGTCTCACAGCAGTGCTTTCTGGGGATGTGGAGAAGTAAGGAGGCAAAGGTATGTAAGATAACCACAATGGTCTGGTCTGTGCTTGCAGTAACAGAGGATTAAGCAGAGTCAGTGAAGAAATCTCCTGCAATTGTGTTTTCTGCTGATTTTTAAAATAACATTAAAATTTTATTACTGTCCTGAACAATTCTTTGTACTATTATGAATAGCTAATTGATGCAAAGGTAACATTTATGTAAGCTACCAAAATCAAAGTTTAAAAAGAAATAGTTCTACAAGTTAAATGTATTATTTTTAAGTTTAACTCGTGTAGTTTGTTGGTTCTTTTAAGTAGGGGAGGAAAAGTACAGCTACATTTCTTATTTTGAATCAGTTACTACTTTTCGTTTTGATCTATTGTTGTTACTGAGCTACACTATCTCCTTTCCGAGAAAATTGTAGTTTTACAAATACGTGCATGGTATCAGTCTGAGGAAAAAGAGTACTTAATTTCCATTACACCATGTTGGTCAGTAGTATTAGAAGCTGGAATAAATGTGGAGCATTACTGTGCTTTTACAAAGTTAAAATTACATTCTGTATTAAATACGTGGTTTGCATATATTTGTTTATATAAAGGGAAAACAAAACTGAGGTCAAATATCAAATAAAACTATCACAGATCAAAATAATTTCTTCTTTCTTACAGCCAGAAGACATGTTTGTTTGTGACATGAATGAGCAGGACATCAGTGGTCCTCCACTGCACAAGAAACTAAAGAAAAGTCAGTGCACACCTCTTTTTATGAATGCCTACACCATGAGAGGTATGTAGCAATGTTTGCAGTTCAGCAGTGACTGAAACACTGTATATGTACATCCAAAATTGCTGTTCAGTACCATAATTCTTATACATAGAAGTTACAGTGAAATAAACATGGAACTATAAAATAAATTGATTTGCAAAGGTACATGTACAGTGGGATATAACCCATAGTAACATCCTGTCAGTATCACTTGCAGTTTAATCTTCTCTTGTAGCTATGCCTGTGATCATCTTTTCAGCACTGATTTTTAGTGCACAATATTGGTAGATTGCAGGGGAAGCCTGGGATTACAGCAGTTTCATATCAGTGGTTTTGCCAATTCAGCTAGTACTGTTTAAATCCTTTTGCATCCGTTGGCTGAGATTAACAGTTATAAATTAGGAATAGGTAAAAACAGTATGAAACTTTTCTTTTGCAGGTAGACAGTCAGTAGATAGTAATAGAGAGCTTTTGATATTGTGTAAAATTTACATCTGTTGTTTTAGAAAGGATTTAGGGAGTCTCTTCTGCTCTTCCTGCACAAGCATCTTACATGTGTACTCAATGAATAGCAACATTGCATCTTTATAAGTAGATTATAATTATTGTCTGCCTAGCTTTCCATCATGACACAATAAGATAATGATTGTTTTGTCAGAGAATCAGCAGATAATTGAAGAAAACATAAAAAGAAAGTAAAAGGCTTTAAACTTCCATTTCACAAATAAATTTGGGAATTCTTTATAACCTCAGAACTCTGATAAAATTAAGAGTGTCTCAATCATTGCAGTATGTAAAGAATTGTACAAGTAGTGTCTCCTGGAATTTGTCACTAACTAAAAGTTAACACAAGTGTCCTAAAACAATCCATAATTATCCCTTATATGTGAGTAATTGCCTCATACCTTCATTTAGTTAGGTGTGTATTTTTTCCTCTCATACAGTAAATCACCATTTGCTAAGATGCCTAATCAAAGGAAATTAATCAAGTATGTAAATAAAATTTTCTTAATAGGTAAATTTTAAAATTAATTCTAAATTTCCTTTTTCTGTTCTTAGGGGCAGGAGCAGTGATCCATACACATTCCAAGGCTGCTGTTATGGCTACCCTTCTTTACCCAGGGAGTGAGTTCTCTATTACCCATCAGGAGATGATAAAAGGAATCCAGAAATGTACTTCAGGAGGCTATTACAGGTACTTCTTTATATTTAGGAGAAGAGGCATATTTGATCATTTATTTTCAGCAATTTAAATACAAGTCATTTGAGTTATATACTTGAAAGTGTAGAATATAAAGTATTAGAAATAAGAAGTAAAAAGACCTCTGGAATGAATGAGTCACCACTGGCTTTCTGTAGGATCTGAAGCCTGTGGAAGAGATCTGAGATAAAATCTTGTAATGCCAAGGCTGCTGTGGTCTGTTGAGCTACAGGAAGAAGCCAAATAAAGAGCTACATCCTGAGATGTTACCACAGCTGTACAACATTCAGCTGAAACTGGAGCCAGGCAGCACCAGGTTGGATTGATAGCATGTACAAACTACATTTGGGTGGACTTCACATATCACTGCCTGTGCTAGTTTGGGGCATGTTAAGAGAATAGAGGATTTCAGATTTACTTGACAGAGTTTGAAAGAAAATTCAGAATAAACAGCTCATTAAAGATAATGTTATTACTTTTCAAGGATGAGCTCTGAGGTAAGTGCTGAGTTATTCCAAATTATGTGTGATGGCTTGTTTTGAGGTCTCCACCCACAGAGTGTTGAATTGGGATCTGCAAACAACATTTATATAACATGTGACAAGGAGATGAGAAATTGAAATGCTAAATTCTTTCCACTTTTTGATGTTAATTTTTGTATCTAACTATTGCCCTTTGGCAAGGGAGCAAGCCATATGTGATTTTACGCCCAGGCATATTTTATTCCATTTTGGTTGACTTGGCAACTTTACTTTCTTGTCACCATTAGCATGTGCATTTTTAATGTGGTAAAATACAAGCTCTTGTATTGAATTGTCTAACAGCACTGGTTTTTTAAAATCCACAACAATTTTTTAATAGATGCATTTTGAACTCTCAAGCACTCCTACACCTTAGTCAGGAAACATTGTATTTAATGGGTTCCATAGCTCCAAGTTTTCCTGTGTCATTCTATTAATTTACCAGAAATCCTCAAGAAGTCAAAGCTCCAGGATGAATATGGCTCATAAGCACTAGACTGATTCCACTGGCTTGCCTCACACAAGTCTCCCCATTGAATTAAAAGGAAAATTGGACCTTGGATTCAAAATACAAAATGAGACTTTTCACAAAAGGGATTGCATGTTGTTTCTAGTTACATAAATCTTCTCTGGAAGCTGTCCAGGAAAATGCTACAGATAGAATAATCAGAAGTATATGTTGGCCTAAGTATGACTCCAGTGATCCCAGACTAGTTTTACCTTTGATTTCCATAGAAGGAGAATTAGATCAGTAGTAAACAGCTTTGAAAGTCAGACTATCACAAAGTATTTTACATCAAGGTTTCACCAAATGTAGGCTACTTACATTTCAATTAAAAAAAAAGAGAGCTATTGAGTATTTAGCTCATTCAGAGTTTTGACATTTTTTAGATATTAGTTCCTGATAGAAAGCTTTAGGAATCAGTTATGATATTTATAGCAGCTTCCAAGCTCAAGCAGAAAGCAGAACCTAGGAAGCCAATCCATTAACTCATTTGGCCTCATTAGTAACAAAAACTCCGAGTGTAATTTTAGTGATCAGAATTTATAAGAGTCAAAGTAAAGCTTCAAATGCCACTTCACTTTCTTCATTCACTATTTTTATAGCTTTCCTTAAGGAAAGCATCAGCATTGAGAACTGTGAGGGATGAGACTTTATCTTCTGAATATTTGATTTAAAATACAAGTTGTTGGTGTTGGGTTTTTTTGCTTTCTTTGTGTGTTTTACGAAAGAAAGTACTACTAGCATCCACTCATGAAATATCTATGTGATCTCAATGATAAATCTGAACCTGAACTGGGGACTTATTAAAACTATTTAAACAAGTTTCTGCTAGTGTTAATTAAGGTTCACACAATGCCAAATATCCCAGTCCTCCTTCAGAAGAAACTCTTAGGCAAGTTCCACTGAGTAACGTGCATCATCTTGTCTTTGGAACTGGGGTTCTCAGGCTCTCTCAAGATCACATGTAGCCCACCAATGACTCCATCACAGAGAATTTACTTTTCATGTGTTGACTCTACCTTCTATTTATATGCCTTAGCAGGACAATCTTCCAGGGGCTTTTTGGACTACCTAAATTAATTTTTTCTGCTCTCCAGCAAACAGCTTCATTTCCTTCTTCATGATATGATTCTTTTAAATAATTTAGTCTGAGGTAAAGCTTGTAGATGATGCCAGTACAGGATGAAAAGTTTGAAAAAGTTGTAAAGGGACCCAACTACAAAGTGATATGGCAATAAACAGCTACACCTAATAGATTAAAGTGTTGTTTTCTTTTTGTGCCTCGAGTGTAGCTCAGGTATTGCCAGCGTAATATGTGTTTGGGAGTGAGACATGTTCCTGAGAATTCCTGTGCTACAGCATGACTCACAAGAGAAGAGCAATAAAATCTAGTGCTGAGAATTTAACATTTTACACGGTCAGAGGATAATCTCTTTCTTAGGGATAAGTTTTATGCATCCAAGCACAGAGATATTTTTTAAATACATAAACATGGCTTTTTTTAATAGATATCACGATACACTAGTGGTTCCTATTATTGAGAATACACCAAAAGAGAAGGATCTCAAGGAGAGAATGGCACGTGCAATGGAAAAATACCCAGACTCTTGTGCTGTCTTGGTCAGACGTCATGGTGTTTATGTATGGGGAGAGACATGGGAAAAAGCCAAAACCATGTGAGTACAATTCAGGAATATGCTATCTCTTGCCTTAAGATCTTCATGAACTTAATGCTATGTATATTTCCAAGGCCTCTCTGCATGTATGGGGAACTTTTGGGAATGGATTCATCCATGATTCCGTTGCTTGATTTTCCTTTCATATCAGTGCTGGCTGATAGGGTTGCCAACATTTTCCTTTCAGACAAGTCAACAAGTCCCTCCTCATATAAAACACACAGGTTATCTCTGCTTTTATATGACACCTGCCAGTACTGTTTGTCTAGCCCTCCCTAGTCCCATTTTTGGAATTTAACTCATCTGCTGATGGAAATGCAGCAAATCAATATTATGTAGCAAAATGGCACTTTCCATTCCACAACATTGGAAATAAACAATAATAGAGCTGTCCAGTCAGCCTGTCATCTTGGTGATAAAATCTTAAGGAAGGAAAATACTAATTTTCATAAAACATGGTAAGACTTGAGCTTTACTTACATCGCATTTTTTCCCTATTTATTTTAGGTGTGAATGTTATGACTACTTGTTTGATATCGCAGTGCAGATGAAGCAGCACGGGCTAGATCCTTCAAAACATCCAGTGGAAGAAAATGGGATCTTGTAAATGTCAACAACATTTATACTCAGGTGTGAACTTACCTGTAAGGATGATCTGTTTGAAGGGAGAGACTAGAGATGACACAATCACTTCAGTCTGCTTTCACACTCAGGAAACTTCATTATTTGAATTCATCTTCTCCCAGTCTGCTCCATTACCACTGCAGTTGTGTCTATGCCTGAAATAGCGCTCCTTTTCCACAAAATGAAATAAAAAATATATGTATTAATAGCTAGATATGTCTGTTGCATATTTAGTACCAATGTACAGCATGGAGTGTGATTTCTTTTTAAAACAAAACAATATCAAGCATTCCCAGAAAAGGTAAAAAGGGCAGAGCCTAGGGAGCTGGTCTGTACAGAGATGTCTGAACACCCACATTTGTTCTGCTTGCAGGATCAGGTATGATTTCAGACCATCTCAGTGATATTACTGATTGTATGGTGGGTTGGCTGGAGGTTTTAGGGGGTTAGGTTTTTTCCTTCAACAGACTTGGTTGGTTTGAGTTTCACTGGGAAGTGTCACCTGTTTACCTCATGCAGGAAATCATTTTGACTTTCTGGTTTTTTACTGTAGCAATGATGAGTTTTGACAATTTTCATAAGAAATTCTTGAAGTTAAAGCCCATAGATAACATGATCAGGGTGTACTTTACATGAAGGGTACCTGGAACAATTCTCACATAAGTTATGTACAACTTGGTATGGCAAAACGCAGTGGTAGCATAACATTTCAGGCTTGGGAATTACAAGTTTAAAGGTACCAGTACTGAGATGACAAAGGAATTTCATGAGCAAAGCAGTGGTGTAATTAAACAGGATAGGCTAATGACAAATGCTTGCTCAGGCAGCATGACCCCACAACAGCCAGGGACGTGGCTCCTCAGCCTTTATGCCCACCCTAGAGAGGAAGCAGTGGGACAGGGGTTTGCTGTCAGGGAGTCTCTGCTGTAGCAGGTATGTGGAGTGCTGCCCCTGCCTACAGTGATGGAGACGTGCCCAGGGCTGCCTCATGGCCCCTGACAGCCATTCTGGAATCACTCCCAGCCCCCCAGCTCTGTGACACCCTCCCCCTGCTGCTGTCACGAGGCCCCGCCCCCCCACCACACTGCCAGGGGTGTCATGTGACCCCACACCCAGCCACGTGACTGCTGGGGTGTCATTGGCTCCGCCCCTCAGGCCATGTGACTTCTAGGGTGTCACATGGCCCTGCCCCTCTGCCACGTGACTTCCGGGTGTCATGTGGCTTCACACCCCAGGCACGTGACTGCTGGGGTGTCACATGGCTCCGCCCCTCTGCCACATGACTTTCTGGGTGTCACGTGGCTTCATCCTGGGTACGTGACTGCTGGGGTGTCACCTGGCCCCGCCCCTCTGCCACGTGCCTTCCTGGTGTCATGTGGCTCCACCCCCAGGCACATGACTGCCGGGGGTGTCACGTGGCCCCGCCCCCCCGGGCATGTAACTGCCACATGACTTTCGCGGGTGTCACGTGGCTCTGCCCCTCTGCCACATCACTTCCGGGTGTCATGTGGCTTCACATCCCAGGCATGTGACTGCCAGGGTGTCACATGGGCCCGCCGCCACGTGACTTCCGAGTGTCACATGGCTCCACCCCAGGCATGTGACTGCCAGAGTGTCACATGACTCCGCCCCTCTGCCACATGACTTCCGGGTGTCATGTGGCTCCACCCCCAGGCATGGGACTGCCAGGGTGTCACATGGCCCCGCCCCTCTGCCATGTGACTTCCAAGTGTTACATGGCTTCACCCCAGGCACGTGACTGCTGGGGGTGTCACATGGCCCCTCCCCTCTGCCACATGACTTCCAGGTGAACGTGGCTCCACCCCTCTGGCCACGTGACTGCCAGGGTGTCGCATGGTTCTGTCCCCGCCCCGTCCCTCCGGCCACAGGGCGCTGGACATGAAAGGTATCCCATTTCCATGGGAAACAAACCTCACCCCTCCAGGTTCCTGATAGCAGTATGGAGGAGGCGTTTGGCACTCCAGAGACAGCCAGGGGTCAAGGTGGTGACAGCTTTCGTCTGGGAGAAATCCTTTGCTGTTCCAAATTTTAGCATGCAGAAACCCAGGCCCAAGGCCCTGGACACAAATGGTAGCATGGGGAATGCCCCTGGCATTGATATTCCTTTGCCTACTGATTATGACAAGTTTTAGAATATTTTTTTGCTTTTACTTTGTTCCTCCTGTAGAGATTTCTTCCATGATGATGGCAGTTCCAGCTTTCACCCCACACTATTGAAGCCAGAAGAGGGTGCTGATTCTCAGCTGATTGACAAATGGCAGCAGGAACTTTTAACTGTTCAAACACACCCAAGAAGAAAAGGAGAGTTTAAAAAACCCAACTACTGAGCGATCACTGCAATTTACAAGTCCTGTCGAATGCCACAGTAGGAGGAATGAAAATTCAGATGCAAAAATACTTTGAAAAACTTTGGAGAACTAAAGTCACATTTTGGTTTTGTGCCTTAAAAATTCGTATTTCAACAACCTGCATTTGTTGATCCTGCTCTAATGCTACATCATTTAACTTGAAATAAGTCTCCATTTCTGAAAGTTATCGTAGCTTTTATTCTTAGGGAAAAAAATTGAGGACAACCCCTTAATGAGAAGTTAATAAAAGTTTAAAGCGTTGTTTGAACTCTTGATTCCTTCATACCATGTTTGTGTTTATAGATTTTTTTTAATTTATTTTTTTAAATTAAGCCTGTAGCATATGCATTTTTAAATTCTCCTATTTGTCTTATAATGAAAGAAAATTTTATGGCATGTATTTTGTAGTTGTTACTGAGGGACTGCTCTGGGTCTTACCTCTTTAAATTCCTTCACTTTGGATAACAGCTTTTTATGACCTCTGCTTAGCCCCCCCGAAGGCAGAGCTAATCCAACTGCTCATTAAAATACAGTCTCACATAATTATGACACTTAATGTCTTCTTTCAAAATCTTCTGGAATAGCCCCCTGGTGGCATCAATGTAAGCCTCGACTGACCAACTTTCTATAATTGAGTACTGAGACCTCAGTCCCGAGGGTGAACTGAGGCAGGCTAAGTGCCAGCTGACCCTGCTTTCTGCTGGGGGCCATGCATTCCCACCACTTCCCCTTCCATCATCTCTGGCACTTTCTTTGAGCTTCCATGAGGTGAATTAACTCTTCAACCTAAAATAAAACCATTGTGGGAGTGGAGGAAAAAAAAAAAGTTTCAATTATTTCCTACTAAGCCACTGGTAAAAACATTGAATCCAATCAAAGGTGAGTCCAAAGAGAGCCAGAGCCAGGGGAAGAGGAGATGGCTGATGCCAGAGATTGCAGGCACCACTTCCCCCTTTTCCTGGGGATGACAATTAAGATCAGTATTTTGGGTACTTAGGCACGTTTGCCCTTCCCTTTTGTACGTAGCTCTGTACCTGCAGTGTGCAACCTTTAACCCTTAGGGGGTTAAATAGCCTTGGTTATTGTGAAATAATGATTATCACTAAGTAACTGCGGGTTGTTGGCTATTTGTTTACTGATATGTTTTTTTCATTATTAGACACTTGTTTGTCAGTGGCAAATACTTTGCAGTGATTCCACATCTTCTGAGTTTATGTGGATTGCAGTAACAGCCTGTGTAAAAATGCTATTTTTTAGACCACAGAGTGACTTTGGACAGGCTGCTTCACTTAAGCATAAAGTACCTCTGAAGTGTGTTCAAGACTTGAGAGGTGCAACTGACCTGAAGGGAAAGCAGACTGTCATTCTCTTAGCTTTTCTTCTCTGTGGACGTACTAATAAAAATATTTCTTCATGTGACAATCCCATTAGTCTTGAAATCTAGTTGCCATCTATTCATTGTGGCCTTCAATTCTTTATTTAAACTGCCTGATTTTTGCGAAAAATAACATCTGAAGATGATTTCAGAATAGCTGATAATTGTATCATTTCATGATACTGATGTTTTGTAAGGATAAAGAACATTTTACATTTGATGGGTTTTTTTGCATATATAATGATAAACCATAAAAGAACACTCACAAGGAAAGGTATTTTTTGCCAGCTATATTCCTCTGGGGTTTTGTTAGTTAAAATGTTTGCTTTCTCATGCAGCTACAATTTGCCACTCTGTAAATCATCCCATTTCTACAACAGTAGTTAAGTTCTTTCATACAGAATTCTTAGCTGCTCAGAGTCCCATTCAGTGATTTGGGAATGAGTGAAATGCACCCTTCTCATGTGAACCCTCATCAAAGAAATTAATGCCTCCACAGCTCTGGTGGCTTCATAACTGTGTGAAATGATTTCTGTTTCCTCAAGTGCTCAGAAAGCTCTTGCAGTTCAGCTCCAGTTATGTAGAACAAAAATAGGAAAACATCTCATACGATTCAAAGCTTCTGAACTCACGTAATTTTTAAGTCTATCTCTTTTCCTGATGTGAATAGTAGGTTTATTAGCCAGCTAGGTATTTTTCTATGTTTGCAGCAAAGACTTGATCTCCACTGAAGCTGATTATCTAGGTTCAGTATCACCAGATAGGCTTATGGCAAAATGACATAATTCCCATCTAAATGGCTCATCCAAAAAGCTAAGTAAGTTCCAACGTTTCTCAATAAAAGTAACATCCTAGCAAACATCCTGCTTGCTTTCCAAGAAGGAAATAAAACTGCAGAATACAGGATCTTGAAATGTTAAAGAGATAGAACTCTTAACTTACCATAAGCAGTTATGATGCCAATATGTGTTCTGTCGTGAATGCTGTAATGCTTGAACAATTGGCATCCTCTTCAACTCTGAAATTGTAATTTAAAAATTAACATTAAAAAAGCCCACTGAATAGTGGGACATTACAAATAACCAGTAGCCTTCCTCTAAATTGTTTTTTGCCACACATTTTGCCAAACAGCTCTGTAACAGTTTTTTGCTATTTTTACAGAAGATGGCAAATTGGAAAAAAAGATAGCTGGAACACTCTAGGTGGATTATTCTCATACTGAGGAGTAGAAGAAAATACATAGTTCTATATTAATCTTTCCT